TATTAATATTAAATTTTAAATAAGTCATACAGATATTTACTAATTATATCTGAAATTTTTCAAATATATGTTTCGGTTTGGTTTAAAAAAAATTTATTTTTGGAGTTCTAGTATGCATTATATATTCTACAGTACTATTGCAATATGTATTCACTATTTATGATAAGCATTTTGAAACACTTGACTTCATTGACGACAACATTCATTGAAACCAATTTTGTGTAATTCATACATATTTTAATACAAACAACTTTTATTTTAGTTTTTATTTTATTTTCTATCGATATTTTATATGCTATCATATTATATAATAAATATAATGCATCTCTTTTTTTACACAACACTTATCATTATGTTTAACATCCAAACTGTTGAGTCATTTTATATCATACTTTTGGTTTCAATAATAATAATAATAATACCGTAGTTTTCAATTGTGAACATAACTGGCTATTATTTTGTTTTTTTTGTAAAAGATATAATATACAGCATATATAGTATTATATAAATAGTATAATTGTGTTTTCTATACAAAGATTAATATAACAATATTTATGTAAATTTCTTTATCTGTGAGAATAGTAAACATAAAAAAATTAATTAAACTCAACGTTTCAAATAAAAATTGTTGCTATAATTTGCTGTAATTGTCGGACAATTTAAATAAGACACACATAAAACATTTCCGCAAAACATTTACACAAATTAACATAATTAAAACTAATAGTATTTTTGATTATAAGCAAAATGTGTTAAATTGTTTTTTGGTGTGTAAATTAAATTAATGCCTTTAAATAGTTTTGCAAATGAAATGCAAATTAGGGTTTAATTTTAAGTAATATAACAAATAAAATAAAATAATTGCCAAAATAGATGACAATATGGACAATAACTTTTCTAATGCTCTTTTAAAATCTACGGTACATATAATCTATATAAATATAACCATAAAATAGCTCATTAATATTACACAAAAAATTTCTCTAATTTTTAAATATTATTTGTTTATACTATTGTATACAATGAATATTACATTTGTTTCTATTTGTAAAGACTAATAAAATATTATATTCTTTTATTAAAATTTTATTTCTAATTTTAACTGTTTTGATGGCTTACACACAAAACCCCACATTTTTAGAGAATTTTTTTTTAAATCATTTAATGTTTAATGTTTTTATGGCTCAAGGATTCTTCAAAATGATGATTGAATTCAAAATTGATGTGTTTTTATTTTTTTATTTTAAATGAAAAAAGAAATATATAAAAACAAAAATTTAATATATCTCTACAGATATATATATATATATATATTTATATTTATATAATTTATATATATTAACAACCAATAGTACAGTATATCATAGTTGTGTATATAAGACAAATATTGTATAGAGTCTATACTATAGACTGTAGTACAGTAGCAAATATAGTATAAACTATAGCATATAAACTGTACTGTAAATGTTAAATATTATATATGAGATTGTATTTTATGTCAAACAAAATATTGTGAACCAATTTTTATTACCAAATAAACGATAAGGAATTTTTCACTTGAGTTTTGTTAGCTTTTGTGTGAAACAAAAAATAAAATATAAAACATAAGTAACAATTTATAACTAAATTCATTATACAAATAAAAACACACTCACACTCACACATATACACATAAATAGCAATAATAACAAATTGCAGTCAATATTATTACAACTATTAGTTTTAATATAATATTAGATTTATGTTTTAGTGCTGAAAGCAGATATTAATTATTTTTCATATAATTTTTGTTTTAATTATTTTCATGTTTTGTTTTAGTTATATATCACTGTACAGTATATACAGAAATATCTATATCTATATAAATAAAATAATATTAATAATAATAATAATACTACGAAAAAGGCACACGAAATCATATTTTATATGAAAAAATAGTCAATTCTTTATGTTTTTTACTTTAACTCATGTCTCCATTGAAAGCATTATTATGTTTGATGTCATTGCCATTGATTGCTATATGAATTAGAGATCGAAAACAATCGGATAGTATTATAGGATCGGTTTATCACAAATTTTTTTTATCAAAAACTTATAGTTATTTTTGTTTTTTAAAAATATTAAGTAATCAATGAAAACTAACAGTAGCCAAGACATCACATGTATTTATAATGTTAAACAAATTTTAATTTTTATATAAATTTGATAAAATGTATTTATTGATATTCAAATGTGTAAATAGGCTTTAATTAAAATAAATGAAAACAAAATAAGTTATTATTATTTAAATAAATGTTCAATAATTTTATAATAATTATTAATTAATATACTTAAATCTATTTATATTAAAAGATTAAAATTTGTTTTTATCTAAAATATGAAAAATTTATATTTGTTTCGATTGTTTAAAATCAGTCTAAGAATTGCATTGATTTTAACTTAAATGATAGGATCGGATCGGATAATAAAGTTTATCCATTTTCTATTTCTAATATGAATAAAGCCATATAAACTATATATCAGATTTTTTTTTTGGTCACTCAGGAAGTGATACCATTAACAATGAAATACCGGTCTAGAAATTAGTCGACTGAGACAAGCATTTACTAAGTGAGTGAGTGAGTGGGTTAGAAAGAGAGAGAGAGAGAGAGAGAGAGAGAGAGAGAGAGAGAGAGAGAGAGAGAGAGAGAGAGACTATATGTCTGTATAATATTATTATAATAACTTCTTATGATTTACTGTGTAAACGACAACATCTATTAAATTATATATATTTTTATAATAAGACTTTAATGTTTTATTCGTTTATAATGTTTACTAAATTTTTATAATCATTAAAATCTATAAATTGCTTCTTTATATAACTGTTTTCTTCTTGTATTCAAAAATTGATTTATTCAATCTTATAAAAAAAAATATTTTAAATTGTAATAATATTTATAAGGATACAAATTTAGTGATTTAAATCTCTAGAACTTTATAATTTACAAAAAAACAATGAAAATCACATGATCCAGATAAATTAATAAAAATATTTTTATTTAATTATAATTCATATACTTGGAGTATTATTTATGAAAATTTTAAAATAAATACAATTAATAATTATTCTTAAAAAAGAGAAATTACGTTTATAGTTGTTTTTGAAATTATATTAAAAAAGATATATAAGTATTAATTGTAATATAATAATATAAGTGATAATCAATGAAAATATAAAGATTTTAAAAAATATTTAAAAAGATTGAAATAATCCAATTGTTTATAATAAATATAATACAAATATTCTGTCCGAAACTTTTTCCTAACAGTAATATTATAAAAACTATAAAACAAACTGCAATTAAATTATTTATTTAAATGCTATACTAAATGATATAAATTATAAAACAACCAGTACAATTAATATGTTTTTATTATACGTTAAATATATAAATATTAAATATTTATTATAACAATAATTACACTGCATTTTAGAATCAGAATAATTTTATAATTACTTTTTATTATTTAAAAATAAATAATAAACACATAATGTAAGTAAATATAGATATCATATAAACATAGAAATATATATTTTGTAATAAATATTTTGTAATAGTAAAGCACTGTTAAGCCTATGTGTGACGTTATCACACAATAATAATACAAAATATATGCATAAAAAACGTATCGCATATATGTCTATACATATAATATTACAGACTATTATATAATAAAATGGTTTCTGATAACTAATCCGGTAAAAAAATCCCGAATAGTGATGGTAGCCCAGACCTCCCTGAGTCCCCCCATACCACTCATATACCTCTCCGATCTCCGCAATTCGAGATATTCGACTTAAAAGTCGAAAGTCGAAATTTTTTAATTGACGTTATTTATGCATATGATACATGATTTCAATGTATTTTTTTATACTAATAATATATCTGAAAACATTTTTTTAAATTTCTTTTTTTTATAAAACAAGAAAATTATACATGAATTGCGTAACTGCATAAAATGTTGACGATTTAATAAAAAAAAACCTCTAGAATTAAAGCTAAAAGTATCTTTAATGCATCAATTAAATTTTTGTCATTCTCAAATATTATAAATGTTTTTATCGCAATTATTTTATCAATTTTTATTCATATTATTGTATTACTTTTTTATTTAATTTATTATATAACTTTTTTTATAGAAATTATCGTATTATTTTCATTATAATTACAATTTAAAAATAAAAGATATTAAATAGTTTCTCAAAAAATTAAATTTCATTTTAGTATAAAGCTCATCATTAAAAATATTATTTAAATCATATATCATTTATAAATAACATATAATTTCGACTTTAAAGTCGAATATCTCGAATACCAAATGACTTATTGGTATTTTGTTTTCAGATGTTATTAGTACTAAAAATACATTGAAATCATTTATCATATGCATAAATAACGTCAAAAAAAACTTTTAAGTCGAATATCTCGAATTGAGGAGATCGGAGAGGTATATGAGTGGTATGGGGGGACTCAGGGAGGTCTGGGCTACCATCACTATTCGGGATTTTTTTTACCGGATTAGTTATCAGAAACCAATTATTTTACAAATTAATAACTAAATTTAGCTAATAATAAAACAATTATAATATTTAATTTGTAATTAAAACTATTCTTTAATTGAAAGCTTATGACACGTGCCTACAACTCAATCATTCACTATATGTAATACTATTGCAATCATTGCTATTAGTGGTCTAAATATTTTAGACATTATTTATTGATATTTTTTACTATTAATATTACAAAATATTTATTACAAAATATATATTTCTATGTTAATAATATTGAAAACTATTTTGTTGAACATATGACACATTTTTTATATAATGTACAAATAAATTAAACAATTAAAATCTATTTGCTAATACTGTATATCATTTTTTAAAAATAATAAAATATTTACCAATTTTTTTATACCCAAATAATTTAACAAATATTTTGTATTTCATGCCATAGGATATACATTATTGGAGACTCCGTGCAAACACTGCGGCCCCGAAACGTTTGCCTGTGGTTTCGGTATCAGTAATGACAGCAAAAAAGCACATCATTTGGACAGTGAGTTCATATCGTCATCGGTGGCCACTAATTGCACGTGTATTCCGTTGAGATGGAGATGCGATGGAGACGTCGATTGTCACGACTCGTCCGATGAGATGGGATGTGGTATGTCTTGAAATTTTAAATCTATTTTTTAGTGTCATTTAGATTAAAATCTAAATTTATTTTTATTTTTTGTAACTTAAAAAATGTTTTGAATTTTTCCAAATAATAACTTTTTTATATAATTTATTAATTTTTTTAAAAAAATAATTATATATTAATAGATGATTTTAAATTTAAGTTATATTTAAAAATAGGATATTTTTTTTTGCTAACAAATAATATTGAATTTCACTTTAATTTAGTGTAAAATATTTTGGAAATTTTTATCAATTATTAATACTTACACAAAAAATGGTTTAAATTTACACAAAATGCTTACACACGTGATAGAGATGACACACACTGTACTTACAAATACAGTATATTTAATACAATTTTTGACTTATTTTTTTGCTAACAAAATATGTATATTTTATAAGCATTGAGTAAAATTCAATTATTTTTGTTACATATTTTTTTGTTACATTTGTCACACAATATTCAAAGTGCATTGCTTTAACAATAAGAAACATTATATATTGTACTATAGTATAGTAACTATACTATAAAATTACAGTATGTTATATATCGTATAAATTTGTTGACTCTATTTATTGATATTCTAACTTTAAAATTACATTCAATTTTGCATTTACACTACCAATTTGTGTCCCATTTTTAAAACAGTTTTACTCTCTCTCTCTCTCTCTCTCTCTCTCTCTCTCTCTCTCTCTCTCTCTCTCTCTCTCTCTCTCTCTCTCTCTCTCTCTCTCTCTCTCTCTCTATCTATCTATCTCTCTCTCTCTCGCCATCAATTGTAAAATATTAGACAAAAAGAAAGAAAGAAAGAGAGAGAGAGAGAGAGGTAATAGTAGCCAATGGATGGATCAGTTATTTTTGAGAGACCATTGTTATGCTTGTATGCAATTTACAAGAGAGAGACTTAAAGTCCATCACGTTTTGGACCATTTGATCGGAATTTTAAGTCCATAAACCGTTACAATAACACAACACAACAACAACAACATCACAACATTTGGAGTTTCATATAACTGAAACAAGAGATAAGAGACTGAAATAAAGTATAAAAAAGCAAAAGTTGTTCACATTTGACACAATAATACTTTTCACTATAATTTTTGTTTTATATAGTAATAGCTAGGATTTACCACAAAAACATAAGAACCGGAAAAGGGTTTTTAGGGGGAAAGGAGTGGAGGGGAGGGGAGGGGAGGGGAAGGTAGATATTCATAAGAATGTTACACAAAAATTAGTCGAAATTAATTGTTTTTATTGATAGTATAATTTGATTGTAATAGACTTATTTTATATAAGAAATTATATATATCTAAATTAATTGTAGATTAAAAATGATTTTGATTTAAGTGATACCCATAAATAAATTTGTTGGTCTAGACGGTCAAGTCGACCAATATTCCTACCGTATAGTCATAGTTAGCCAACTGTGACAACAAAAATTATATATATATATATATATATATATATATATAGAGAGAGAGAGAGAGAGTATATCTTTTTGTTGTTAAATTTTTGGAAGGAAACTCCGTTTTTTATATAGGATATGCCTATCAGTGATTTAACAATGACTAGAGTTAATGAGTCGATGAATAAAATTGAGACCAATTTTAGGGCTAATTATATTATACACAAAATAAAAATATAGGAAAACTAATTGAAATAAAAAAAAATCATATAATGGTTGACTTTTTTTTAATTCATTTGATAAAATATAAATAAATTGATTATTTATTTTGTAAAGTCAATTGAAATATATATTCAAAAATTTAATGGTCAGCATTAAAATCAAAAATATAATTTTTTAAAATAATTTTTTATTTAATATTACATCTGAAATTTAAACTAAATAATAATAATAATTATTATTATTTTGTAAGTTACACTAATATTAATATACGTAAATATAACAATTAATATAGACATAAATTAAATATAAAATTTAATTTTTGTATTATAAATACAGAATTTACAAACTATTATGTTTATGTTTTGATCGTAAAATTTTTTGATATATCAAAAATATAATTGTAATTTTTCTATACATAATATATTATAAAAATTTTTGATATTTAACTCTCAATAGAGAAAGACTAAAGTTTTAGTGATAAAGAAATTTTCCATCAAATATATACTGTAGTAAACTATAACCCATCAACACATATACCCACTAATATAAACTGTATATCTATTTGTGATATTTATAATACAAGTATAGACAACGAGAAACTTTACTTTTAGATAAATTGAACTTTTGCTCAAAAATCTCATAAGAATTGAATTGATTTTTTCAAAAAAAATAAATATATTTATATATAAAAATAAAATCCTAAAGAAATGATGATTTTTGGCTCGACTTTAATATACTTTACTATTATTATAAATATACCCGTAATATAAGTTATATAGTATTATAGTATAGTTATGTACACTGTATACAGTATACATATATTTTATATAAAATATATCTATTTATGAGATGTATATTAAATTTTATGATTAATTTGAATAAAGCATAACAAGAAATTAGCAAAAATATATGTATTATATAATTATAAGTTTAATGTATTTATTTCTCATAGGATTACTTTATAATTATATTTATTTTATTATAATTAGTATAAACATATAAATAGATATGATTAAAAATTTTCTCATAAATAATGCAAATTGGTTGATAATTTTTATTTTCGAAAAATTTATTAAAACTTTAAAATGTTATAATTGATGTTATTATACAGTATTAAGTCATCTCAAAATAAATTATCAAACAAACTTTGAAAAAGTTTTGTTACTGAAATCTATACGAGTGTATGTGTGTATGTATGTGTGTATGTGTGTGTCTATGTGTGTATGTGTGTGTGTGTGTGTGTGTGTGTGTGTGTGTGTGTGTGTATGTGTGTGTATGTGTGTGTATGTGTGTGTATGTGTGTGTATGTGTGTGTATGTGTGTGTATGTGTGTGTATGTGTGTGTATGTGTGTGTATGTGTGTGTGTATGTGTGTGTGTATGTGTGTGTGTATTTGTGTGTGTATGTGTGTGTATGTGTACTAATGAATTGGTGAGAATTATAATATTGATTAAAAGTGTACTTTATTAGACATAGGAGTCATTTACGCCATTTTTGTTTCTGGCAATGCTTTCTATCATTTTCACTGATTTTATATGAATTTTGATTTTTTAATTAAAATTATTTATATATTATATTTATTGTTTAATGTTAAACAATACTTTGATAAATTATATATCTTAGAATATGATACATCAACTGACACAACAATTTGACACAATTTTGTTAGATTTTATCAAAAAACAAAATTTTTATTCAAATAGTATTGAATCTAATATATTGAATATAATTCTATGAGAGATGACTTTATTTGATGCATATTTTGATTGATTTATTCATCGATACAATCACTTGCCATTCACTTGATAACAATTTTTTTGTATATATATATATCGAGTAATTTTATTCAATGAAAAAAAATTTAGTATATATTTTATAAAACGTGTTAAACTTTGTTATATTACGATCAATATTTTTTTCTGTATTTTTGCTATTATATTTGAATATGTTTTTATTTCAATTTTTATATTTGGCACCACTTTTTTAAATAAATATTTATACCGTTTTATACTGTAATTCATATGTATTATTAAAAATTTTATTATCTTAGACTAAATATGTCTAATAGATTTGTATTTGCAAATAAAGTATGAGTTTCAAACAACATAAAGAAATATACTATTTCTACATATTTTAAGTAATTTAGGTATTTTTTAACATTAATAATATGTTTAGAATTAATTGATCACTAATTTTAAATAAAAATTATTATTTAAAATCTAATCTAAAACTTATTTGTAGGGTTTTTAGTATAGTTTTAGAAAATTATATTTATATAATTTAAAAGTTTGATCTAATACAGTATAAATAAATAATATTAAGCTAAATATTCATAATCATAAATTTATTTAAATTAAAAGCATTTCTTTATTTCTTTAGTCTGAGACACTAAATAAACGTATATTTTTATATTATTAAATTTTAAACTATATTATAGTATAAAATTTATTATTACATAGATATATACAAAATTGTTATTGACGATTTTTTAAAAATATCTGACAAAATAAAAAATAATATTTGATTCTGCAATTCAACAAAAGTTATATTTTTTATTGATTTAGTGAAAAAATAATATAAACATAAAATCAAATAAATTATTAATATATTACGATATTTGGTAAATATTTGTAAGACACAATCAAATATATATTATAGTAACATATAAATATATTTTGATTTTGTTTGATTTTTCATGTTTTATATCTATCTAATAATAAAGTAAGAAAACACAACAACAAAAAATTAAAAAATAAAATTTAGTATTATTTATAGAGACATGTAATTTATTTTTATATATAACTGAAAAACTGCTCCAAAAAACAAAACAAAAAATTAGTGTTAAATTCAAATCATGTAATGTTTTAAAATTCATAACGCAATCGTATTTTGCTTTCAAAAACACTCAAATATATATTTTTTTTTGTTTTATCATTTTTATTAAAATCTAAAATGTCTTTTATTTCAATTTCATATTTGTATTTCTACTGAAATCTATTTCAACAATATTTTATTTCATATATTTATGTAGAAATATTTGAAATATTAAAAAATTTTATATATTAAAATTATATACAAACAAATTATATTAGAAAAAAAATTGTTTTGATTTCAGTATTTTACTATCGAGAAAACTATAGGATAAAAATAAATATTAAAAAATTTATTGTATTTTATAATACTATATTATCAATAAATTTAAACACATTTTTCATAAGTAAATAAAAAAATTAATATTATTACATAACACTTTAAAGTCTTAAATATAATCCATATGAATATAAGCTTTATTTTGATCATAAACTTGTAAAAATATATTCAGGGATTATTAGATTAAACTGTGGATATAAATGCATTATTCAACATTAATACCAAACATCTATCCATTTTATTCATGAAGTCTTTTAAATTCAATGTTTTAAAAGTAATATTAAAAATAATTATGTATAGCATTAATATTAAAAATTCTTTATTTTTTATATATATGAGAAAATATATTTTGAAAAATGAAACATTAATTTATTCATATTATATTAATGTTATCAATGAAATATTTAAAAAATATTTTCATAAAAATATATGATAAAAATTGCGATTTATTTAAAATAATAACGACTTACAAACTTTTTTTTATTGATTTAATTCAAAATTTTATTAATATTTATAACATATAGTGTTTATATTATTTTTATGAAAACATTTTCAATACATTTTCATGCAATCCGTATGACAACATCACTGACCATAAGCTATAAGATTATGGTTTAATTGCAAATTTTTTATGCCATCAAAAACACAGCGCTATTAAAGTACATTAAAATACTTTTATACTATATTTTTGTTGTTTAGGTTTAGTTTATTTTTTAAATAAATATTTCATAATATACTTTATATGAAATCTGGGATTTGGATGGCATTGCCAGACAATGTATTTGTCTGTCTTTATAAACTGTATATACCTTTAATGCCATCAAAATATTTTTCATTTTCACACAAAAGTCGCATTTATTTATAAATATATAGTACAGTATATACGGTATATATATTTTTTTGGCTACACTTCCCGATCGTTAATATTTAACTTCTTTAAAGCCTTAGTGTCAAACATTGTCTATTCTTTTTTGACGCCTATCTCTCTCTCTCTCTCTCTCTCTCTCTCTCTCTTTCAACAAAAAGAAAAATAAGTTTATATTCAAGTGTTGAATGAATTAAACAAGAAAAAGGACAGTAAAATGTAATAATAAATTATAATTACTTGCTATTAGCAATAATACCGTTTATCAACCATTTATATATTTACAAGATCTTTGGTTTGATCCCATTATTTATACATAACAAACAGTTTTTTTCAGTTAAATAAAAACTTATACACTATAATATTATTCAATACCATTATTACTATGTATTATAATAATAAATACAGTATATTAACTTTTTATCTAAATATGATTTATTAAGTCATATATTTTTATTAATATTAAATTTTATTTGTTATAAAAAAATATTTTGTATAAAACTTTTAGAGATTTCAAATCAAAGCCGTATAACGTTAAGTGATTAATGTATTTAAACATTTAATATTTACTTATCAAATAAATCTCTTATGTATGACATAATGAACTTAAAAACAGGTGAATTTAACATATAATTTTGCCATGGTGATTTTTTTATTTTAAAAACATCTTTACTATAGATTTATCAAATTTAATCACTTAATCCATGAGATAAATAGAGATTCACATAAAAAGTATTTCCAGTATTGATAATATACTTTAAAATGTATTTATCATTACTTTTATTGGTTATATAACTTATATATTAAAACATTTGAAACCTAAGAATAATCATATGTTTATACAGTAATTTACAGAAATTATTTATTATAATAAATATAATGTACTAATGTTTAAGTTAGTTTTCATTTTTTTAAAAATACATTAAGTTTAAACATTAACTTTTTTATATTTTATCATTTAAGATATTTTTTAATATACTTATTTAGTTTAAATTTATACAAATAATTAATTAAAAAATATTACATTAGACTAATTTTATTTATAAATTCAATAAAATCAAATTAAAAAACTCTATTTGTAAATAATATATTAAATGAAATTTTCAAAAATAACAAAAACAAAATGTTAACTTTAAATTTTTTAAAAATATTTATATAAATGTATTTCTAAATGAAAATTGTTGTCATATATAAATCAAAATAAATTATTATTATTATTATTATATTGTCCGGAGATGTGCACACATTATATGCACACACTCTTGGGGTTTGGTATTATATACAGTGAATAACACAATAACTATAACAATATATATATATATATATATATATTTATATATATAATGTGTCTGAAAGTGGACTTCACGATGATATATCATATGTTAAAACACTTAAACGTCAATATTTTTTTTTTATTTTCGATATGATATATAAAAACAAAACACAACACAAAACTCAAGTTTTAAGGAGCACTCCATAAGTCATTGAAGATTATATAAAATATATAATATATTGAGTGAAATGCAAACTATAGATACAATAGTATTTTTCCAATAGCTAATAGAAACTAAATTATATCATTTGAAAAAATAAATAAATAATAAATTGTTAACAAACATAATTTATATAACAAACTCTATAAATTATTTAATATTTTATGAAAACAAATCTTTTTATAAAAAGACAAATTTAAGTTAATGTTTCCACATTACTATATATTTTTAATACAACAGTATTAATGTTATTGAAATTATAATTATAATAATTTTTATTTTTTATTATAATATGATATCAGTTATTTTATATTTTTTAAATTTTAATATAATTATTTTTAATTATTTATTTAGCTTTTAATATATATATAATATTACAAATTATTTTATTTGAGCCTTATATTAAAAAAATTAAACACAAACATATGTTTATATGTATATTATGTCATAATAGTGTGTATTGTAGTTTAAAATTAATACAAATCTTATAATCGGCTTTAATATGTAATAACTATAAATTGTAATATCATAATACTATTATTATTATTTTTGTTATATCTTTAAGGGTTGGTTCACATATTACGTTCGCACTTTGGGGGAAGGGGTTTCGACCAAAGCAAACTTTTGCAAACAAGGGGAGAGGGGGTAGACTGCTTAAGAACGTTTGCATTTAAATAATTTAAGGATTAATTTTTAGTTTAAGTTAATCTTTTGATAAAAACGGTTTGAATGAATATATGACTTCTGAATAGAAACAGTTTTAGTTTTTGCAATATTTTAAAAGTGAATTAATTGATATCAAACTTAAAGCCGTCATAATTTATAAGGCATTTATTATTTTATTTCTTAATATAGGGAGGGAGGGGTCTAGATTTCTTTAAAAATGCGAAAGTAATATGTGTATCACCCCTAAGTATATAAATATATTATAAAATAGGTCAACGATTTTAATTTATTGAAAATATAAAAATTATTATACTTGCCGTTAATTCAATATTAAACTATTAAACCTTAAGCTTAACAATTTACTAATTTTTAAACTTATAAATACAGTATTAAAAAATTAATTATAATTTTTCATTTTAATTAGTCATCTTTATTTACTAATTGGATGTTAAAACAAATTTTCTTTTAAAAGAAATACTAAACTATATATTGATATAATTTTTTATTAATTTAATTAATTAATATATTAAAGTAATTTAATTAAAGTAATGTTAATTTATTTGGCACATTCACAAAACATGTTTTTATCGGAACAATCATTGAGATTATGTTTATTATAAAGACCATAGAGTGGACCCCCGGGTATCAGCATATTATGGCACATACAGCCCGAGTATTTCCAGTTATGTTTATAGCAATAGTCCATACATTTTAATTGATCGCATTCATAGCAATTGCACTGTCGCTGAATGTTTGATACTCTTGACGACCACTTTGTCTGACAAAAACCTTTATTATAACCATAACGTTGACAATGGTTTTGGCACTGACCGTCAAACAGGCATATCTCTATGGGTATTGAGGCTAATATATATATATATATATAAATCATTTAATAGACAATATAATTATAGATTATAATTATTCACAAATTTTATGTTGCTTATCATAAATTTTTTTAAAAATTAATGAATCTACACTTACAAACAAATGTCATAATTGTTAAACAAAAATTTAAATATAAAATATAAAACATTGATTTTGCATTAAAAAAAGACATCATAATAATAGTTATCATACAATACTATTACATTATTGCCTAACAGTAAACTGTTTAATAGATAGTGAATATCTAAAAATGTTAAATGATTTTAAATGACTATTTATATATAAATGTAATATTTGGTAAACTAAAATAATATTGATTTTTGAAATGTTCAAAAAAATTATATGTAAATATTAATTTTAACCTAAATTTTTGCACAATTTTTGGACCTTTGAATAAGTTTATTATAACATTGAGACCAAATAAATATTTATTTTTAATTTTTATTAAAACATATTTTAATAACAAAAAGCAATAAAGTTTATTAAATTTAAGTAAATATATTATTTTTGTTTATCTATCACATAAGCACTTCCAGTTTGTTCGAGTGAACACTTCACCTGTTCCTCCGGTCAGTGTATACTCAAGACGTGGTACTGTGACGGAGACACTGATTGCATCGATAAGTCGGATGAAAGTGATTGTACTCCAAGAGATTGTGCCGCCGATAGAGAGTTCAAGTGCACCAATGAAAGGTGTGTCCGAAACGACTGGGTATGCGATGGAACTGATGATTGTGGCGATGGATCTGATGAAGAGTGTATGGGTCGGCCGTGCGCTGCATCGGAGTTCAGATGTCATTCAGGCGGTTGTGTGTCGATGTCTTTTCATTGCGACGGTGAAACCGACTGTACGGACGCGTCCGACGAATTAGAGTGTGAATTGGTGCCAATCGATCACATCTCTTGTCCGTCAACTCAATACCGGTGCCGTAATGGTCGCTGCATTAGTGAATCCTATCATTGCGATGGAGATAACGATTGCGGCGACTGGTCTGATGAGTCCAAGTGTGGTATGTATTATATGTCAGAGTCATTGGAGACCTCTTATTATTGAACGACTCAATTGATATTTATCTTTTAATGTCAAATGAAATGATAAAATAGAGACAACCTTTTATATTATATACTATATATGTTTTAGTTTATGTACCGTACGGTTGTTGTAACCAAATGCATGATTCCCAAACCATTTGGGAACTCATAGATTTACAATACTGGTGCTTATCATTATTATTATTTGCAATTGTACTCCAGAGGGAAGAGTTGAATGTCGTTCCTCAGAGTATCGGTGCACTGATGGCCAATGCATTAATATCGACTGGAAGTGCGACGGAGACGCCGACTGTGAAGACAAGTCGGACGAACTTAATTGCCGTAAGGAATCGCTAAACCATTTATTATTATTTTATTTTTTTTTTGTTATACTTTCCTTTTAATTTGCGACAAACTATAGGCCATATAATTATCTTTTCTATTAAGAAATCCACAGAATATAACCATTCATTTTCTTTTTTATTACTATTTTTCATTTTGTGTCCATAAAAAAGATAAATCAATTGATTCATGTATGATATATCTATCTATATATAACTTTTTTTGTTTGATTGAAAACTCTAATATACAAAAACATCTTAATATTTAATTTAAGATTTTTGTTGTTTTTTAAGTCCAAATAATAACCGACAAAAAAATTGTACAAATAATGCTTTTATGTGTTAATAATTTGATTTGAATGGTCGGTATTATTTCAACATTAATAAGTCTATTAATGGAAAAAAATAGTAGTGAAGTACAGTATTAATAGTAATACTTGTTATAACACATAATGCAACTCAATATTGTATACCAATTATTCAATGATATAATAGAGGACTCAATGGATAACAAGCAGACAATGTTTTTGGTTGTATAACATTAATGAGGTTAACATCAAAATAAACTCAATTTGCAAATAAATTGTATTATTATTATTTGGCAAAAAAAAATATAGACAAATGTGTTACTATAAATACAGTGTAATATGTGAATGTACTTTACACTAAAATAACTAATAAATTATATAAAGGAAAGACTACTAATAATAATGACATACCTATTAATGACAGTAACCTTCAAATTATTGATATATTTTGTAAATATTTGAAAATCATTATTATTACAAATAGACAAATTAATTGAATTGCATTTTTAAAACATATTTATAGTAGAAGTTCTCAATAGAAGTCTACTCAACATAAAAAAAAACATTATTTAATTAAAAATGTTCAACAAATATATAATTTTAATATATATTATCAAATTTAATATTTACTTAATTTTTATATAACAATAAATATTCAATTATTAAAAAATTATTAATGAATTTTTAATATTTAAATTTAATTTATTATTAAACAATTTATCACTAAAAAGAAGGCTATAAATGTTTTTATTTAGTAATTTGCAAATAAAATATTATTAAATATGAATTTTTCCTAACCATCCCATCCTTTATCCCAATGGCTAATAGCGTCCAAATTATGCACATCTGAAGAGTTCCGGTGCCGAAGTGGTCGCTGTATATCAATCCAATGGCGATGCGATGGAGACGTCGACTGTAGTGATAATTCCGATGAAGATGGTTGTGGTGTACGGAGTGAATGCTCTACCGGTAACTTTAAGTGCACTGATGGCACCTGTATTAGCCAAATGAATGTTTGCAACGGTGCGCCCAATTGTCCCGATGGTTCTGATGAGGATCTAAACGGGACGTGTTCATCGGGTACGCCGTGTCGAGAGGATGGCTTTCCGTGTCAGCACCTATGCATTGCCACAATCAATGGCCATCACTGTGCCTGCAAAGAAGGCTATCAAATGGGTGAAGACGGCCGGTCGTGTATGGATGTGGACGAGTGCTCTCAAAGTGAACTGATTTGTTCGCAACGATGCGAAAACTCTGTGCCCGGTTTCCAGTGTTATTGCGCCAAAGGTTACAAAATGCGTGCCGATAGACACCGATGCAAAGCACTGGGACCCGAACCCATCATCATATTTGCCAATAGATTAGATATACGCAAAGTATCATTAGATAAATCAGAATATATATCACTAATAGGTTCTCTACAAAATGCCGTCGCTATTGACTATCACTATGAATTGGATCTTATATTTTGGTCCGACATTACATCTGATACCATATCAAAGGTTTCATTCAACGGCTCAAATCCGGTGCCAATCATTTCCAGTGGCCTCATAAGCGCCGGCGGAATTGCGGTCGATTGGGTCCAACAAAGAATCTATTGGACTGATTCGGGAACTTCGAGAATAGAGTTCGCAAACTTTGACGGAATGATGAGGAAAGTACTCTTTTGGAAGGGTATAGAAAAGCCCAGAGCTATAGTGACCAATCCGGGAGATTCAACTATTATTTGGACCGATTGGGGACAACAGCCTAGAATTGAAAGGGCATTCATGGACGGAACGGGTCGTATAGCTATTGTTGAGACGTCGCTGTTCTGGCCCAATGGCCTCACTATAGACCATCCATCCAATCGACTCTATTGGGTTGACGCCAAACATCATGTCATTGAGTGCTCTAATTTAGACGGAACTGATAGGAGACGAGTAGTTGACGGTAGACTAAGAAATCATTAACAAATGAAACAAACGGTACAATAACTTTGATTCAATTATTTTCAGGCGAATTACAGCATCCGTTTGCCATAACTATGTTTGAGGACAACCTATACTGGACTGACGTACAGGTCTGGTCTTCTATTGATTAGTTATTTAAAGATCAAATTATTTAGTCATTTACTGATTATAGTAATTACGATAATTATAATTGCATTTTATAGACAAAATCAATACTAATGGCCAGTAAGCTCAACGGCAAGAACGTGACGATAGTACACAATAAACTCCATTTCCCAATGGATGTCACAATTTTACATCCATTACGACAGCCAGATGTCCTTAATCAGTGCGCTGGTAATGAATGCAGTCATATATGTTTGCCAAATAATATCAGTTACCGGTGCGCCTGTCCTAACGGCTATCATTTGCGGGATTTTCTAAACGGCAAGACTTGCAGCGAAATTGCCGACACGTTTCTGGTGTTTACCCGTCGTTCAGATATCCGTATGATTTGTGTTGAATGTCCAGCGGATGAAACCATTGATGTAGTCCTACCACTCAAAGACATCAATAGTGTTGTGGCTATAGATTGTGATCCAGAATCTGCATCAATCTTCTGGTCTGACGTCACAAATAAGACCATAAATCGTGGCCTTTGGAATGGTATGGGTCAACAAACCATAATATCGGCATCTATTGAGTCACCATCAGGTTTGGCTGTGGACTGGGCGGCTAGAAATATCTATTGGGTCGATACCAGCCGTAATACAATAGAAGTGGCCAAAATGGATGGTTCAATGCGTTCACTGCTTATTTGGGATTTACTGGATCAACCAAGAGATATAGTGGTGGATCCTAACAGTGCACTCATGTTTTGGAGTCAATGGGATAAAGTTAACGCCAGAATCGAGAGATCCGGTATGGATGGCACTCAAAGACGGGTCATTCACTTTGCAAACTTGACTTATCCTCACGGGTTGACCATTGATTCCAAAGAAAAGAAGATCTATTGGAGTGATGCCGGACTCAGACGTATCGAGTTTTCTGAATTCGGTAAGACTTTAAATGTATTACACTTTAAAAGTATAATTTATATATTTTTTTATGAAACAAATAGATGGTTCACACCGTCAGATATTAATCTCAAGAAACATCAAACATCCGTACGGTATGGTTGTGCACAAGAATTATATTTATTGGACAGACCTGGAGCTCAAGTCCATAGAAAGTTCGCACAAATTAAGTGGCGAACACCGGAAGACAATTATCTCAGGATTGGACCAATTAATGGGAATCCAGATATTCGACAATGAATTCACTGCCGCAAAGAGTGATGTCCGCAATGTTTGCTCAAACGCGGGTTGCAGTCATTTGTGCCTTTTATCTCCGTCCTCATCGGGCTATCGGTGCTCGTGTCCAACGGGTGTCATACTTGGCAACGATAGCAAAACATGTGCCTCTGATATGCAAAAATATTTAGTGGTCGCCGTTAGGAACACTATTCGACGAATTTCACTACAAGTGCCATATTTTGCAGATGTTGTCATTCAACTGAACCAACAGCCCTCTAATGCTATCATTGTTGACATTCACATCGAGAATAATACTATCTTCTGGTCCGATATCAAAGAGCAAAAGATATACAGAGCAAATATTGTTACCGGAAATGTTGAAGTTGTCATCGATATTGGTCTGCATGATGTCAATGGACTAGCAGTAGACAACGTCGGTAAAATGCTTTACTGGACCGATGCCGGTCGCAAAAAGATCGAAGTATCCAATTTAGACGGTTCTGATCGTCGGGTTCTCATATGGCATGAACTAGACTCTCCCCGTGCAATAGCAGTCAATCATTTTACAGGTCATATGATTTGGGCTGATTGGGGATCACAGGTTAGAATCGAAAGAGCAGACATGGATGGCGGTCGACGAGCTGTTATTGTTAGTGAAAGACTCGGTTGGCCTAACGGTATAACCATTACACGTAAGGGTCGGTTCATTTGGGCCGACTCTAAGACGCACACCATAGAGATGGCAGATATTAATGGTGTCAATAGGCAAACATTAGTTACCGATGTGCCGGCACCTTATGGAGTGGCGGTTATCGAAGATAACATTTATTGGACAGATTGGGAGACTCGAGCCATACATCGGATTAATATTGATGGCAATGAAGGAAAAGCTGAGATCATAATTAAAGGTTTGAATAATTTGGTGGATCTGAGAGCTGTCAACACGTTAGCCAACGACACGCATATCATACACAATATGTGCCAAATCAATAACGGCGGCTGTTCTCACCTCTGCCTTAGAAACAGTGCCAAAGGCTACTCATGTCTGTGTCCCACAGGAATGGTACTCTATAACGACGAAAGAACTTGTAATCCCAGTTAGTGTCCACCGAAATCTTTATTAATTATTCAATCTTTTTAAGTTATTAATTAATTTGATGTTAACATAACATCTTCATTGTTTCCATTAGATCTAACGCGTCAACTATTGGTGACCACAAAGACAAGTCTTCGTCGCATATCATTGGACACAGAAGACTATAGTGATGTTTACATAACAGCGCTCAATATACACGATTCTGTGGCAATAGATTATGACTTTTTAAATAAGAAGATCTATCACTCGGATCTCGCCTTATCTCAAATCCGATCCTTTGATTTTGACGGAACTAATGCTCAAATACTTGTCGCCAAAGATGTGTCGGAACCATATAGTCTTGCATTCGATTGGATCGCAAAGAATCTCTACTGGAGTGACACCAGACGTAACATAATTGAAGTGTCCAGAAGTGATGGATCCTATCGTAAAGTCATCATTGACTTAGATTTAGATAATCCCATTGCACTGGCATTGTATCCATCGTTGGGTTTTCTGTTTTGGGCCGATTCCGGATCGGTGTCTAAAATTGAAAGAGGTTTGTCAACTGTTTTAGTAGAGTATTATATAAAACCGTATTAAAAATATTACAAAATAAATTTATTATCCATTTTTATAGCTTATTTAGATGGAAGTAGTCGTAAAGTAATCCTAACAGACTTGGGAAGGATTGCTGGAATAACCATAGATCTGGAGAATCGGCGTATCTTTTGGACTGACTCTCAGTTGGATCGCATAGAGAGTGCAGATCTGGAAGGAAAGTATCGCAATGTTGTCATCAAAGATATTGCCAATCCTTGTGGACTGACTGTATTGGATCAATATATTTATTGGTCCGACTCGAACACAAAAGCCATTGAACGGGCAAATAAAGTGACCGGTGCTGACCACGAGACTATCTGTGATAATATTGATAAATTAGTCGAAATCAAATCTATGGCTCTCAGTCGGCAAACTGGTGCCAATCCTTGCAGCGTTCATAACGGCGCTTGTAGTCATCTATGCCTTTTCAGACCTCAAGGTTCGGACATATTTTCCAATGTTTTCGTAAAAATTTGTAAAATTGTATTTAAAAAATGTATAAATTTAAAGGTTACATATGTGCCTGTCCATCATATGGTGATTCCCGACCCTGTTCTACGGGTATGTTAAATAAACGACTATAAGATACGTTGAAAATTATATATTATTTTTTTTGTGTTAATTTTATGTCGAAATTTCAGTTCCGGGTGAACTGGTCAACGAACCGACAACACAGTCAACTATTAGTTCAGATGAGACCAATTCCAGTGATGATAATGTAAATTCAGGCGATTCAGGCCTTTTAACTGAAAATCCTGTCAAACATATCAATCTGACAACAATTTGTAAAGAAATGACAAATTTAACCAATTGTCACGTTTTAAATTCACATTTTGATGGTATTATCAAATTATATTATTAACTTTTAGTTTTATTAGTGTCTTTGATAACATATTTTTTAAAAATAAACTTTTAGGACATTTATTACGCGCCGTTTATATCTCAGCATTGGTTGCCTTTATTTTAATCATAATTATAATGATTGTCGTCACCATTACATTATGCAAACGGTATAATAAAATAAGGACTTATTTGAACAATTGGTTTAATAATATTATTCTTAACTTAGAAGAAAATCACTGTCACAACAAAGTAGTATCGATAGGGAGAGCAATGAGACGCCGTATCCCGAGGACTGTTACATACCTAAGACACACCAAAACGATATGAATTTAGTCAAACAAAGTACAGGTAATATGGAGTCGAGACATAATAATTTAGATATCAAAGATTACGAACAAATCGATGGTTTCATACCTCCTCCGCCACCGCCGCCATCGATGTCTGCCAGTCATCGGTTGCACAATAAGAGTCCTCAACGAAACATTGCGTATGTGTCGTCCGATTGCAAGTCTAATAAGCATTTAATGCCTCCAAGTCTGCCATTAATTAGAAATACTTCGAAAATTTCTATTGAAACTGATATTTGATTTGTAATTACAATTATTATACACATCTATATTAAGGTTTTTATTATACAAAATTTTATAACATTGTTAAATAAATTTTAACAAATTATTAAACTATATAAATATTTAATAACTATATTTAAATATCAAACATAATTAATAATTATTTTAGTGATTCATTGACTTGATTTGAAAGTTTGGTCCTTTTGTTAGATTTTGATAACCTTCCTTCTAAACTCTCTATAAAAAGTCATTAAATTATAAAAATTATAACAACAAATATAAACAAAACAAAAAAATATAACTGACCACAAACTGGTCTATCCAGCAATGGTTTGTACAGTTTATTGCGAACACCCATAGATAAGGCCTCGATATGTGCACTAAATGTTGAAAAATCATTATCACACGAAAACCGTGTCTTCAGGTCTTCAGTCAGACTATTGAGCATTAGTTTAATGATATCGGCTTTAATCGCATGTCTAGTCCATAGCTTTTGCAAATCAGTTACCAGTTGTGTCAACGCTTTTTTATCATATATCCAGTCATTGATATCATTGTCACTAAATGAACAATCAAACAGAATAAGTGGAAAGTCGGCTGACATACAGTATTGGGGTTTATTTGGATGTTTGTCAATGTCTAACAATTCTTCTATAATATTGGGTTCCTCTTTATGTTGACCGATAAGAAATAGTAGGGCAACAATACATCTGATTTGATGCCATAAGAAAGCTCTTCCGGTGATTGTCAACGTATACATCGAGGAATTGCTGTTAATGTTGTTATCATCAGAAAATTGTTTCAGATCTACAGTAAATATTTTCCTCTTGTAATTAATGACACCGTTATTGATATCCATTTTGCATAAGTTTCTAAAGTCGTGATCGCCTAACAAATAATTGGACGCAATTCTCATGCGATCGATATCGAGATTACTTTTGGGAAACAAATATTTATAGGTTCGAGATTTGCAGCTGAATCGGGCGCTGAAGTCCGACTCTACCGGTGACCAACAAATTACACGAATATTTTCCGGCAAAACGCTATTCAAAATCAGTGAATAATTAATCTCTTGAATCGTTTCATTATCACCAGAGTTGCGTTGATCTTCACGTTCAATGTAGTTCTCTGGAGTTATAACTCCTCTTCCAGTCTTCAGATTAGTTCTGATATCTAATGAAATGATTTGCGAGAAAGCGGACACACCTTTGTCTGTACGACCGCATCGATGATAGTTTGATGTCTGTCGAGACTGAATCAGTCTTGTCTTGAGTAGTGCATCGAAAAGTGGTTCTTCAATGGTTTCTTGTGTCCACTCCTGTGCCGTAAAACCCAAGTAATCCCATCCTAAGTACAATATCTTCATCGCAATGTGTCTCGTCTTATATCGACTGAAATCAAACGGTCTTTCATTTTTCGGACACTTTTTGCTGACTCCGTTGGTCTGAACAGTCTTTTTCATCAATATATTCTTCAGTTGTCTTATGTGTGACTGCATCGACACCACGCGTTCAATCAGTTCCTATCAATTGGTGATCAAAACAACAAATTATTTTGCCATAAGTTTTGGCACAGATTTATGTAAAACCTCTTTCGTGAGTCCGTCCAACTCATCTCTGGTGACGCCATCGCTGACGCTATTATTGTGTAAGTTATCCATATATTATATATGTCGGCCAGAAAAAGGTGTGGTCGGGGATTGAGACCAATAGGACAAACACTCGGGTGTTTGACGTCCCGATTGTTTGGACAATCGGAAAGTGATTATAAATTATTAAAAGACTCACGAAATGAGTGGACAATTGAAAACAAAACAACAAAATAATTGTATTTTTATTATTAAATAAATAACTAATGCTTTCAAACGGTATTTCGTGTAAATTCGTTCAAATCTCACACTCAAAGTATGTAACGATTAAACACTATTATTGCGAACCCTTTTCCCAAAACTATTTATCAATCGTATGGTTTGATTGATAAACCCTTTACTATAACATAGTGTCACGTAATTAGTGATTAGTATCGACACAACTGCCACACTGTTTGTCGTTATTTGTGTTGAGTTTTGGTTTGCAGTCAATGGATGTCAGTGTTAGTCAACAGTCAGTGACGGTGTGTGCGTGACTACAGTCAACACCACTTACCGAACAATTTGTGGTCACTTACCGATAATTAGCGGACAATTTATTGGTAATTATTGAATTAAAATTAAATTTATAACTATAATAGAAATATTGTTGATTTTTTAGTTAGTTTTTATGTCTTAATTATGATGTAATAAGTTATGTATGAGTGTATGGATCCAATTGTATAGTTATATGAGGACAGGTATGTGTTGGGCACCAGTAGTGACATCAGTGAGTGTTTTGTATGATTTCTTGTAGTGATATGTAGTGTTCAGTGATATTAAGCGATGAGAAAATTGTTTACAATTGGTTTGTCGACTATTGTAGACGTGATTATAAATGCCGAGCGATGTCACCGAAGCACTGAATGGTCACCCGATCACACCATAGCCCTCGGCTCGGTATCATCGACCCGACAACTGCTTGTGCTGACCACTGGGCGCATCACTCGGACATGAGTGAAGTGTTCGCCGGAGAGTCGGCAAAGAGTGGTTTGAGTGCAACAGTGGACCCGCAGTACAGCCGACTGCCGAACCAGACGGACAATCATCGGCTCAATACTCATGATATGAGTCCTAAATACACATTCAATCACATCTTCGAGTCAAACAATAGTAGTTTTAATTCAATTGAACGCAACTCTAAATTAAAAGAAGACATTAAATCCGACGATTGTGTGGACAGTCGTGTCGGCGACAACTGTCAAGTGTCCGATAATGAGTGTGAAGACAGTCGTGTTAATGACAACTGTGACGTTACCGACCACTGTGTCGACAGTTTTGTGAACTCAAACTATGAAACTATTGACGAGTGTTGTGACGACAGTTATGTGAACTATAGATACGAAGTGACCGATGAGTGTGTGGAAAGGTATGTGACCACGAGGTGGGATCACGTGAACGGCACGTATAGCTCAACAGGAGTCTGGCGGCCGTGGAATCAGATGACTAGTGCCGTGTCTTTTGAAGCAACAACTCTTCATATACTGCCTTATGTTGACATCGATATCGAGGGCGAAGACAATGACAATGAAGTAGATGTAGAAGACATTAATGAACACAATGTTGAAGACAATGATATGATTGAAGTCCAGATCAATGATAGCCCTCTCAACACTCAATCAAATAATTATAGTTATAATAATAATTATAATATCGATGATAATGATTGTGAAGATATTGCATATAATTAACTTTTATATAAATATATATATTATTTAATTAATAAATAAATGATTGCAACAAAACAAACAAATTGACGACAGAATTAACACAACAATAAAGAAATTAAATAACTATGTCTTGTATTATAAAAATAAATAAATAAATATAAATATTAGGAATAATTTTTGAATAAAAAGTAATTGAATTTTTTTTAAAAATTACGACTAAATTGATTTAATTTAATTTAAATGATTATTTAAATGCGAAAAATTAGATGTATTCCTATTATTATTGTTTTAATTTTTCAACGATAAATAGTATTTAAATACAAATTATATCCAAATCTTAAACTTAAAATCTAATCCTTATTAGAAAAATTATTTTTTTTCTATAATTATAATAATAGTAATACCGTTACTAAACATTTCAATTGAAATTCATATATTTTGAGGCCTAAAAATTAATAGATTTGCCGCTCAAATAATCCGATTTTATGAATGATAGCTATTATACAGTATATTACTAGAAATGGGTCGCAAATTAAAGAAAATTTAAATTTTTAAGCCAATTGTGATGACAAATGAAATTGCATTATAATAGTGTGTCGACAATGACATTGAAAAAACTCTGTCAACAGTTTTTGTGTTAGTTATTGAAGTCAAGTATTGTTCAACTCATTTCACATTTTATACACAAAATAACTACAGTTTATAATTACTATCTATACATATAAAGTAATTTAATAATATAAAGCAATTAATTGTAGTTAAATAAGCAATTGATAAGAATATTCTACCCATAAATGTGTGCTTTATTTTTATCGGTGATGTATATCTGTATCCACAGTATATATATATTAATATAAATGTATATTTAGATCATAAATATGAGAAAAGGCCAATAAATGGGTAAAATTCCAGGTATTATACAATAGTTTTTTTAAATGTTTTAATACAGACAGTCGTTAATATATATAATAATAATAAAATATCGGATACAAAACATTTTAGAATTATTTAAAATTTATTCATATAATTCAATAATAATAAATAACTTTTGGTATCTATATTTGATTTAATTACAATTCATTAATATAATATAATAATAACTAAATAAAGATATTGTAAACAAATTACAAATAAATAATATATGTATTGAATAAAAAACACATATTTATAAGGAAGATGTATTTGTGATGACATTATATAATAATAATAATTATTATTTTATAATAAAATGAAAAAATAAAAAATATTATTTGAATGTTTATAATTTTTTAAAAATGTAAAACCAATTACACATACATTTATAATAAATTTTTATAATTAAGAAACCGTTATAATTTTCAATTTCACTTTTTTTCATTACTTTCAACACTTTAATGAATGATACCCTAAAACAAATGCATAGTTTGTACGAAACATAAAATACTCGTCAAATGTGATAATTATAATTATAAAAGAATATATATATATATATACTGTAATAATAAAATTATTACAATCAATCAAATTATAAATTAAATGCTATTTTCTTTTTTAAAAATGTCAATATTTTATACATAAAATAATTATAATTCAATAAACAAATTCTCAGATTTAAAAAAATTTATAACTTATTTATAAAAAAAAAAATACAAATCATATCTTAAAACACAATTTTTTTCTAAGATTAATACGGATTTTGAGAGTCATTATTAATCGTCATTGATATTGTCAGTAATCAATATTCATTTATTTTATTTTCTATCACTATTTTAATGTTTTGCAACAAATATCTCAACTATTTTTAATTTAAGTAAAAAAACATTGTTTATAAAACAATAATATTTCATAAAAATCAATTTATACTGTATATATTTATATATATGATGGTCGGGTAGGGGCAAGCAATCAATTGCTAATATAGATTTTTATCCAGAGTTTATCAATATATTTATTTAAAATTAATTTATAATTCATCTTTTAAGTCAAAAAATTTGAGCGTTTTATAAGTTTTTATGTATATATAAGAAAAATCATTTGTTAATAGTTTTCACATTACTTACAGTAACAGTATTTATGTTAAAATACAGATAAACAGATATATTTATCATAAAATTAGTATCCATTTGTCAATTTTGTTAGGTTTTTATAGAAAAAACCGCTGATTTAAACAAATGATTGGCACAACTATTACTTTCCAAAAAAATTGTTTGTCATTACAATTGTATAATTTGTATATTATTTTTTCTTTTGAATAAAAAGTCATTTCAAACACAACAGACAAAAGTAGTTTCAGATATTAATAATAATGGATTCAATTTATGACAACAAATGTATTTATGAATTAATGAATGAATCGGAAACACAGTGAGTGTATTATGAACAGCTCAGACCCAAGAGTCGCCGGCCGGCATTGCGGGCGGATATATGGGCTCATTGTGGTCAAGCATATAGTTATCAGATCCGAGTAAAGCTGTCTGAGATGAGCTGTCGTTGGGGCGCGACGTCTGTCTCTTGCGTTCCCGATTCACCTGAGCGTAGACGGGCTCTGATGTGGGACTTCTGGTGCCGTATGTCTGTTTAATTGTCATTAATAATATTTTTTAATCAATTAGTTATTTATCTCACATAATAAGTAAATTAAGATTCAATAAAAATTTTAGTAAATACTAATCATGCAAAAGAAAGACATACCCGAAAGTCATATTTATTAATAAAAGTTATGATTTTTATAAATATATTAAAGAATAATTTGATGAATTAATGAGCAATTATTTGATTGATTAGTTGATAAAATCATAAAGTATTTGAAAAATTACAAAATGTCGAGTTTTAGTTTGTAAGCAATTTTTTTTAGTAGCCATGAGGTTGAGGCGGTTGCTGTGGACAAGTAGTTAGAGGAATGTAAAGTTATATATTGGTTAGTTTAAGAAGTAATTGTTTTTGTTAGAATAAATGATTCAAATAACAAAATTAAATACCGCTCCGGGAGGATAAACAGGTACTCCAGCCACTTGTGGACGGTGTAGTAATGGTTGCTGTTGTTGTTGCTGTAAATGTTGTTGATTTGGTGATAGTATACCATCCGTATGGTTCATATCAGACAGTGCCAGCTCTTCAGGCTATAGATTTTCAAATTATAAACATAAATAAAATTTATTACACTATTTGAATAAAACAATACTACTGTATATATAAATTAATAAATAAAAGCTAATGTATAAAAATGTCATTATCTAAAAATTATTATTTTCATCATTACTTCAAAACTTTATTAACTATTTCAACCATAAATATTGATCCCATTTTAGCAATTTATATAAGCACTCCAATGTTTTGTTTGTATTCATTAATTTAAAATTCAAATAATATTAAATTTATAGCAATCGTGGGTAACATTTATATACAAAATCTAGATTTTAATTCATTACATGTTATATAACATAGTATTGAAATAATGAGCAATAAATATATTTAATTTATTTATTATTGCGAATACATTTCAATTGTCTTTCATAAACAAAAATTGTGATAAAATTGATTAAAAAGCTCTACGAAAATAAATATATTTAATATATAACAATGAATTCGTGCAAAATTTCAGGTTTTTTGTTGATTAAAAGCTTTATATTTTAGTTTTCATGAGTCAAAAAAAATACTGCCATTTCTTTGTGCATTTTTTTTGGCATATAATATAAATGTCACGTTTTAATGGTTTAAAATGATGTTTCAATTATTGAAAAAAATGTATAAAATTTATGCGAAAATAAGATTAACAATAGTTAAAGTTAAAAGGTCTACAAAAAGTCTACTAAAGTCTACTAACCCTTCTCTGCATTTGACTCATATTAACGGTATGTCCTGTGCCTCCATTACGTGGTAACGTCCTGTCCTCATAGCGGGTACCGCCAACTGTACTCATCGGACGCGTTAAGGTATTATTGGCGCTGTTAGGTGTGGACGTGGAGTTTGTTCTGGACAGTAATGTCCTCGGATTTATTATGAAATGCGATTCTTTCCAACCGGCCTTTTTGTAAACCTCCCTCAGCTCAATGTGTTGCCACATATTAAATAATAACTACATTTAAAATTAATAAAATAATTTCAATTAAAAACATTGATTTATAATTCAACTCAAAAGTTATAAACAGTTATTACCTGAGATGTAAACTTCGAGACTCGCGGCGAAAATTTTCCCTTTTGTTTGACAATAATCGTAAGCCTTTCCAAACCTCCCGCTTCTAACAATGATTTGGCAAAATCGGGATTCTTTGAGATGACCTCATTAAGTGTGGCCAACACAGCGGCTACTGTGTCATCGCTGGCATTAGAGTCGTGCTGTGGATTACCATTTGGTAATTTCGAGACCAAGTCTTTAAGTGCATATTTGCCGATCAGTTCCTTATTCCGAGTATCCATAGCGAGATTCCGCAGAGCAGTGGCCACTGCACACACTACTCGATCAACTTCCATACGTAGCAGTTCCACCAAAATAGGTAAACCTTTTTCTTTACGTACAGCTCCACGAATGTCGATACTTGGCTGCCAAAAACATGCCGATAAGTTTTGTATTGCACCGGCAGCTGCTTCAAGGGTTTCAGGATTGGAACATTCAGATAACAGTGCTAAGTATGGCTGAACTACTTCCGTCTGCCAAAGCAATTCCATTCCTCGGGCTGGCTCTAATCGCGGCCTTTGGATTGTCGACATTGGACTGACAGTACCATTGGCACCACTGTTACCCGAAATGGTCAACTGTTTTGTTTGTGTATCTAATGAGCTGATTGGCGAACTTATAGCTGATGGCGATGTCAGCGAAGTTGATGAATCCTTTGACTTTTTCTTGGATCCACCAAAACAGCCCAAATTGTCGCCGACTTTGTTTCCGAGACCACCCATAATAGCTGCCGCTCGAGATGACGATGGGCTAAGAGAGTTGTTTTGGTTGGCGTAATAGTGTTTGTCATATTCGGGATCAATCACTTCTTGACATCGATAACTAAGATTACGTAGAATACAGACGCAGTTTTCTACAGATTTGTTGTCCATATCATTCTTGCCGATTGCCGACCGCACCAAATATAGCAATGCGTCGACCAGTCCTTCACACTCACGGAGTTTTCGTCGGGCATACTCTCCGGCTGATGACACGTTCCGTAAAACACCGGAACCGTTTCTAAACACTGTCGACCAGTATATGTCACCGCAGTTGTTCATGACTCCGGGCGCTGCGGCGACATTGGGATCAATACTGCGATCCCAACCAGAGTGAGGAATAATAATCACATTCACTAAAACAGTCAGTGCGTCGTCAATGATGGGTCTCTTAAGCTCTTCACTTGAGCTCAGATTCCAGAGAACACCTGTCACTAGTTCTCTGATCTCATTATCCACTGTTTTCCTTAACAGTCTGACCAGTGCGGGAATACCGCTGGCGTTACGAATGGCCCGTTTGTTTTCGTCATTTTGTCGGCCGTAACTAAGGTTGCGAAGAGCGCCGCACGCATTGCGCTGAAGTTCAGGCGTTTCTTGTGATAATAAGTTAATCAATGGCGGAATACCGCCCAACGCACGTGTTTTAGACTTCATGTTGTCGTCCATAAAACACAAGTGTTGTAGATATGCGGCCGCATTGGCCCTCACAATGTTGTTGGGATGGTTTAAAAACTCAATCACTTCATGAAGATCTGGGTCTCTATAGCGCACGTCACCGGAAGAGTCAGCGGGAAGAACGAGATGCTCGACACCGGCCATCGGTCGCATCGGTGCCATCATTGGGTGAGAATTTGACACATAAGGGGACTCTTCCTCGTAAACAGTTTGCGGTATCTGACTGGCGGTCATGTTGTACTGCGGCCCATGCATTGGCCCGACATAGTTGGCGTAGTCATCAAACGAAGGTCTATTGTCCAGATAGCCCTGCGGTGCGTTGTCATAGGTATTGTAGAAACTGCCGCCCGGACTATGCATTTGTGGTGAAGGCCGGCTGCCGTAGCCATACGGATCTTCAATTGCCGGATTCAACGTATGATTAGGTAAGGGCTGGTGTTGCGATTGATCCAATTCATAGTAGCCGGTCGGTGGCAACGGATGATTCATTGCTCCCGATTCTGACACCATTGAAGGTGTGGCCGAACCCTCGTATCGAAAGTTACTGTTCTGATAGGTATTGTTCTGAAGATCCATTCACTTCTTCAGATAAACAACTGTTTGCAAACAAATAATAATAAATTGATATTTAGATCAAAGGTTACTATTTTTTGCATCAATTCCTATATCAGAACTGATCCTAACTAATGATCATCACATCATTAGTAATGAAAAAAAGACGACTTAATTAACAACACGAGTGACGGCATATCCACCCTTCCGGACATCACATCACATGCCATCACTCCTGGGATCGCCAATAGATTCAATGCTATCAATTGACATCCTTTTTATCAATTCAAACACAGCTTTTTCATCATCAATAGTGATGTACTACTCTTAATATCAAGACATGCGTTGTATCGGTATTGCCGACAGTAATGCCTGTCCTCTCCTACTCCTCCCCCTCACACCAGACATCACTAAACCCCCGCACTTATCATATCATTTAATATTGTTTTTACTTTACTTTCAATTATGGGTTAATCAATGATATATATATACCACTGATGATAGCTATTGTACTATATATCTACAAATCATATGATATATACAGTATATATGTTACTAATAATCGGTTAATTCATTGATATTCATCGCATACTATGCTATAATAATAAACAATTTGAATATAAAAACCATAAAAATTGAACTAAAATTACATAATAATAGCAATCAAATAGTATTAATGCATTCATCCATTCATTAATTAATGACTTATTCATTAATAAACACATCATTAACTCAAATGACTGTCATTTAAATATATGAATATTATATAAAATATTATACAAAATATTATATATGATATATACTGTATATATCCGTAATATCCAAAAATTAATTGAAAAACAATTGACAATTAATACATTTGGTGCAAAATTTGTCAATAAATTATTTTTTTTAAATTACACCTAGACACTATTTATAATATGCAATATTATCATGGTCAATCAATGTAATGGTCACTTTATCACTAACTATATGCAAACATATACATAGTTTATATGATATATATATAGGGAAAGGCCTAACTCGCCGCCCGGCGCTCATTGACTGTCAATATTAATGAATGTCATACAACAGTGACTTCAAGTTTGTCTCTCTTTTTATTTTATTTTAATGACATTATTATTATTATTGTCACTAATTATTATAACATTGAAAATGATATATCAATGGTCTGTCTATGATATGATTGAAATCACTTACTGTATGACAGGTCAGTCATGTTTGCCATCCATTAGGCGCTCAGTTGTCATCCGTAGACACACTCACACATCAACACAACAACAATTCAAACATCTTTGGCTAACATATCAAGTGATGGTCACTACTAATCAATGATTTATATGATATATAATATTTAATGGGATGTCATGTATGAGTTGTCACTAAACTAACCAAACAAAACACATCACTAATTAAATGAGTATTATTTTAATTGAATACAACAAACACTAAATATTAAGTAATATAATATATTTTGGTATATATTTAGTACTGTATAAGCAATGAATAAAATACATTGAAAAATATTTTTGAAGTCAATAACATTGTAAGCAGTTTTCACTACACATATACCTAAAACATACATACAGTCAGTGTATGAGAGTTTTTGAGACCATTTTGTTTTCCATAGAAACCCTCTCCTCAATTGCATACACACCAGCTCTACACCAGTCCTACAACAACATCCCTGTCCCTCCCTCAAGGCTATGTACACATTGTATACCAGTATATTAATAGTAATAGTAATGTATGGATCAACACTACAGTAGATACAGTAGATTTGCACATTGTGTAGACATAACAATAAACCCAAAAACCCAATATTCAAAAATAAAGTAACGAAAATACAAAACTAATTTAATTTTTAAATGCAATCTAAATTTATTAAATTATTCATCAATAATATATTATATTTTATTGTAATAATTTTCAAAAAAAAAAAAATTAATTTAATAGATTTTATAATAAGTTAAAATAAAAGATATGCTATTTATATGTAACTTTCAAGTTGAGTCAAATTTTTATATAATTATATAATAATTAGTTTTTACATTATATTTTTAATGTTAATTAATATTATTTTTTAAAATATTAACTAAAACTAGTAAAACTCAAAACCATTAATAAAATGAAAACCGATATTTGAAAACCCGAACCAAACCCGTATTGTACTCTATTATACTTTATATATAACCCGCGTTCTTATAATTTGATAGTTTATTACTTATTAATTTCAATCAAATATCTCTACAACTATTTTCAGCTCAATTGCTATCAATATTTCAACAGAATATTCATAATTAAAATTATTTATCGCAAATAACTAATCATTTTTTTTGCTAATGATTATACTTTTAATCAATACTTTGTTGCCCATCACTGCACAACACCCAACACAAGTGAACAGTACAGTACTTGTATTGTAATTTTGCTAAATTAGGACTAACATTGAAAAAATAGACACAAAAACAGGCACTGTATGAGGGGATAGCCTACTACTGCCACTACTGACTCCTCTCACTCTCTCTCAGCAAAAATAGACATCACTTTTGGTGAAGACAACTGTATGGATACTGTCTGGAGACCAACAAAATTATAGATATGATAAAGAGTATGGAAAGCATAAACTAAAAACTAAAGAGAGAGAGAGGTATAGTCAAAATAGTAACTGTATTGTAGTTATCAATTTTTAGCTATTTTATCAAAACTATTTTATTGATGATAAAAGGACTTTAGTTAAATATATAGTCATATAATTTACTATAGACTTAGAACATATGGTTGTCTATCTATGCATATCTAATCAATAATTAACTGATTATTTTTTAGACATTGATCAGCAACTAAATCAAAGAAAATCAAACAATTTTCTCAATTTAATTATTAATAAAATCTTATGATTTCAATCATCAAATAAAACTTATTGTGAAAGCCTTGAAGAAAATAAGTTAAGAGTTAATATAATAAAAGATAAAATTTATATATTTATCAATATTTTCTATAATACTAATATACTGTACATTTATATTATCTAGAAAAAGATATTAATTATTATTTCATATAATATTTCATAAGATAACATATAAAAAAATATATCATAATTTTATCGAAACAAAAATAAGTAAAAGTTTTTTATTTAACAAATAAGTTTGTGATAATTAATTGGTTGTTATCAAACTTCAATGATGGGTCAGTGCATAGAAACAGATAACTGTCCAATAAAAGCATTTATCTGGTCTACAGTTGTTCAATGGTTTTGGCAATAATACGGGTGCAGTCGAGTGTCTGTTCCTCAGTGATAACAAGCGGTGGTGCGAATCGTATTTTGTCGCCATGGGTTGGTTTGGCCAACAGTCCATTATCTCTAAATCTGAGACACAGTTCCCACGCGTCATACTTATCATTGATAACAATGGCATTCAGTAATCCCTTTCCTCTAACAACTTTCACCACTTCTTTCGGCAATTTATTCAATTCTTGTCTCAAAAGTTTTCCCATTTTGTCGGCATTTTCGATGAGTTTATCATTAATAAGTACATCCAGTGCTGTCATCGCCACTTTTACGGCTAACGGATTACCGCCATATGTCGATCCGTGTTCTCCCGGCTTAATACTGAGCATTACTTCATCATCAGCTAAAACGGCTGACACGGGGTATACACCGCCGGACAATGCTTTACCCAAAGTGACAATATCTGGCCGCGCATTCTCGTGATCGACGGCCAACATTCTACCTGTTCGTCCCAATCCTGTCTGTACTTCGTCTGCAATCCATAAAACATTGTGTTTGTCGCACAATTCGCGCACTTTTGTGAGATATCCGGGATCGGGAACCACAACACCGGCCTCTCCTTGAATTGGTTCGCACATAAAGGCGGCGATATTCTTATCGCTGACCAGTTTTGCTTCCAATGCATTGATATCATTGTACGGAATAATTTCAAATCCCGGCATAAATGGTCCAAAGCCTCCGTACGAAGTCGGGTCAGTCGATGACGATATAGCGGCCAAAGTACGGCCCCAGAAGTTTCCGTCAGCAAAGATAACCTTTGCTTTGTTCTCTTTGACGCCTTTGACAGAATAGGCCCACTTTCGGGCCAATTTGACGGCCGTCTCACACGCTTCGACACCAGTATTCATGGGCAAGACTTTGTCGTAACCAAACATTTTAGTGATATACTCCTCGTACTCACCCAAAGCCGAGCTATAGAAGGCTCGCGATGTTAATGTCAACACTTCCGACTGTTCTCGCAATGTCTTAAGGATAGCCGGATGACAGTGTCCCTGATTGACAGCTGAATAAGCGCTGAGAAAATCATAGTATTGTTTGCCCTCCACGTCCCATACGTAGACACCTTTGCCCTTACAGAGAGCTACCGGTAAGGGATGATAATTATGGGCTCCATATTTAGCTTCTCTATCAAACACCTCCTGTGATTTGCTTGAAGTGTCACTCTTGACAGCAGCATTGGTCACTGACAGGTGACGTACCGGTGCTTTATTTAGCAATTTTGTGGAAAATAATTGCATGCGAGACAACATTGTTGGATAAATTTGATATTTTCTAGTAAAACGATCGATCAATCAGTCAGTAAAACAATAAATATAATTAAATGCTTTAATAGTATTTTAACTATTGTTTGCGGTGTGACTTCAATTCAGGCGCTGATTATATTAAGTTTATAATAATAATAATAAAGAGTGAACTAATCAATCATATAATGGGCTTATTTTAAAATATTTATTAGCATTCAAATGCTATGATATTGATTCAGGAATTAAGTTAAGGACTCGTTATTTATAAACTTTTTTATTATTATTAAAAACCTTTTATATAATATAAAACGAGTTAATATAAACCTTGATTTGTGATAATTGACAATTAATTTTAAAATAAAATACTGATACAAATATATATAATATAAATTAATATATAAGAGCAACAAAAAAAATCAGTTCAGTTCAGTTCAATTTCAGGTAATTTTTGAAGTTTGAATTATTAGTTGAGTGTCTCATATAATATGATACAAATTAATATGAGATTATTATTTAACGCTATAATAGAAATGTATTGTATAGTACACACTACTCAAGTGATGACTTTACAAATTAATTTTATATTTATATAATACACAATTAAATTGCAACAAAAATCTAATAGTTTGGGTACTTGTAATGAAATCAAAGTCACATTTGTAATAATAATTTAAACACACAATTATTTTTGTTTCAATTATTTAAATACTTGGAAAACACTTGAAAAATGATAACAAATAAATTGAGTTCAAACTTACATTACAAACAAACAGCAATTCAGATATTCTTAAATATAATAATAATAATAATTGCAATTCATTTAAATTTCATTTAAGACAATAATATTCCTTACAAACAATTATTTAACTGTTATTCAGATTCAATATAATAAGTGAAAAAAAGATGTATAATATTGATGCTCAGCAAACAAATTATTAAATACAATAAATAGGATTTTTAAAATTCAAGGTTGCATTTCCTTAACATTACTATACCACTACATTTATATATGTATATATCATATATTATATAATATATCTATATATATATATATATATCACCTAATATATATATATATATATATATATATATATATATATAAATATATATGTATAAATCAAATGCATATGAACAGCGCAAATGTCAGGGAAAATTTTTGCTTGAAAAACAAGATTGACTTAAATTTTGTTCAACAAAACTAATTAATTAACGAAATACTTTTTTTTTGTCCCAAACGTTGACCCGTATTTGCAATTTATGACAAACATTAATAACTTATAATCACCTGATTTACCATTTAGTAGTGCATACTTTGGACACTGAATGTTGTATATTATAAGTTATAAATATTTTTATAAAAACTGAGGATGTTTTGCGAGACATCCCTAAAAAAATCTCATCCCTGTTCTCTACTTATGGCATATCATAAGACCTTATTTACAGCTTCTACTGAATTGTGTAATCTAAACAATATAGCATTGGATCATATGTTTGTTATTTAAAAAATATTATTTTGCAAAAAAATTTCCTATCAATATCACTCATATTTTTGTTTTATATCATTTATATTTGCTATTAGTCTTTTCACATATTTATATTTTTACAAAAAAATAAATTATTTTATTGAATTGTAAATAACAAAAAAATAATAGTCACACATTTTTAAGTCAAGTTAAAAGTAATTAAAATTTATGTTTCAAGTATTAAATATAAAAATAACTAAAATTAAAATAATATAGTTTAGAAAATACTGTATAAATACAGTACCCTATTATAAGTAGTGTATCAAAAAACATTTGATTGGTTAGCCTGTTATCAGTCAATTATATTTGCATTTTCCTAAAGGCAAATACAAGTGGAAAAATATATCCTAATATTAGATTCAATGTGTGTCTTAAATAGTTGTCATCAAAAATTTAAGTCACGTTTTGACTACTTTTTTCCAGAGCATAGTTGTGTCCATTTTTGGCAATACATTGCAATATAAAGTGGGAGTCATAAGGATTGGCAAACAATGGTATATCGTTAAGATGTATATATCGTACTCTAAGAGACAAGTAATCACAGACAGAGAGAGAGAGAGAAAAGAGATCCAACATATCATATATCAAATGCTTTTTAAAAATTACATTAAAAAATGTTGACAACATATTAGATATGTATTTCTCTGGGGTTAAGGACTCATTCACTATATAATACGGTATAATATATATAAATATTGTATTTTCAATTTCTGTTTGTGTTTTTTAAGTTTTTTTTAAAGATACAAGTATTGTAGTTAACAAAAAATGATATAATCTTTTTTTTTGACACTCACTAAATAGCTAATTCACTCACACACACACACACACACATACATTCAGTACATAAACACCACAATGAACTCACAATATGTTCATTGAATGTCAAAAAACTATTTTCAGTATTATTCAAATCTTTTTTGTATTCATAGTAAAAAAAAATAAAATAATTGTTCACACATTGCATGTTTGGTAGAAATCAATAATACATTTTTTTCAAACTAACTATACCGGTATATAAATTCATATAAAAAATATGATAATAAAAAAATGTTTATTTCAAGTATATTTTTTATTAATACAGTAAATAAGAGTTACAAGAATAACATATTTTTGTTAAACAAAATGTTGATTGAATATAAAAAATGCATTACTATTTTTCATATTTTTAAATAAAAAAAAATGATAATCTCAAAAAAAAATTTTGAAAATAGAAAACGAGACGAATGCCTCACGAAATGTAGTATTTTAGGAGAAAAAAATTGCACTTAAAATATATTGGATTCTTGTATTAAACCTAATTGTAAAACAAATTAAGTTTATAAAGTTGAGAAAGAGGTGGTGAGAGAGAGAGAGAGAGAGAGAGAGAGAGAGAGAGAGAGAGAGAGAGATCTATACAAAATTCAAGTATAAAATAATATCAATTTATTTGTCGTTAAAGTTCTTCAGGAGATTTTCAGTCGAGGAGAGAGAGAGAGAGAGAGAGAGAGAGAGAGAGAGAGAGAATGAAAGCAATGAAATGCTTTTTGTCTTATGTTATTTTGAAGTGACTTTCAGTACACATATTCAATGGACTAATGTTTGGGAAATGATATTTTCAGTATAAATAGAGTTTAAGAGTTAGTTTTGGAGATAAACTATAATATAAGTCAATTGCTATAAGTTTTACATACATTGAAAAAAACTTATGGCAAAACTCAACACTAGTTTATAGTCGAGTGATTAACGAGAGAGAGACTAAAGTACAAGTATTTGCAGTTATGACGGCTCAATACGGTTGGCAAGACATTATCATCTCTCTCCCGGTGCTCAAACACCGCACACATAAACAACAATAGCCAACACTTATAGGTATTACACTGCAGTACTTTGTAGCCTTTGGTTTCAATACTAAAGTACAATATAAAGCTGAGAAAATTTCTATATATTATATGAGATCAAAAAAAGTAATGCATTAAAATTGATAGCATTTTCCAAAAAAAAATATAGCAATTTGTTGGTAAACCACATATTTTTACGGTATTTGATGTTTAGCTATATTACACAACACGAAATGCCATTTCACTGTATATATACTATAATAAACGCATGAAAAAGTTATATAATACGATAGGATAGTGGATATTATTATTGTAAGGGAAAGGTTGAAAAAGGGATGGTTTGTTGGGCTTTAATAGTCGACAAACATATTGAAGATTGTAATGTAATGTCGATATTATCTATAAAATAATAATCTTATATAAAAATCATACACCATATATGCCAATAAATACAGTATTCACGTACAATACATTGTACTTTATATTGTTATTATAAACGTTGATTATAATAGCGGATAAAAATATGGAAAAATGTATTATATTTTTCAATTTATACAAAAAAAAAGTTTGTTCACAAATAAATAAAATATTAGTTTTCGTGCGAAAAATATATTATTAAAATTTGAAATATTTGTTTAATTATTTTATCAAAAGTTAAGAGATTTCTGATTTATTTTTTTAGTTTAGTTTATTTTTATTTTTTAATTTTTTAAAATCAGTTCACATGCTTATCAAACAGTTTCCAATATCTTTATCTAAAAATTTAAAGCTACCGATTGATAGCATGATTTGTATTAATAAATCAGTTTTTGAAACATTATCTCATGATATAATCATCGGATTGAATAAATTCTGGTCAATAAACTGTAACATTTTTTTGTGGATACAACTAATTAATTTGTAATTGATAATATTGAAAATAACAATAAAAAAAATTTATAAATAATTTTTTTTAAAATATAATTTATCTATTTTAAGCAAAACGGTTTGGTTTTGGTTATTATTATTAGGTCCTCAAAAATATTTCTCTACCGGTATATAGGATTTGATGACAATTGACGGTTTGGTTTTATAGCTCCAGTGTTGACCCCTTATAGCAAATATGACAACAATATGTGTATAGTTTGTTGCGCCCTCTGAACTGTATTTATGTTAAAACGTGAATTACATATTCAAATATTGCGTCAAATATGAAATAAGTTTTGAAGAAATAAAAAAGTTTATAATTATTAAATTACAAACAAATTGTGACCAAAAAAATGAGTGATAATAACAAAATGCCAGCAAATGATAGAAAAACACAGAATGCCATTAAAGACAACATTTTAATGAAGAGTGCGTCCATTCGTCAGAGACAACAGCAGATCAATCGACAGCTTAATTCACAGCACAAGAAGTTGAAGAATATTAAGCAATCGATGAACGATACGTCTGGTAAACGACAAGAAGGCGATCAAGACTTGAGACAAATGCGCGAAAACAAAAATATTTTCAAACAAATCTGTTGTTATTATTGTTGCTGTTGTTGTGGTAAATGTTGTGAAAACACCGATGAGACAAATGTTGCACCAATTGAGACAAAATCATTGACAACAGTTACTGAAAGTGAAGAACCGGATCCCGATGTCGACACCATTGAAAAGATGTGGACAAAACACTATCAGCCAAAAACATGGAGAGAAGCCATGGATTACAATATTAGACAACTTATAGATGAAGCCGAAGACGCTGAACGACGACTTAATAGAAATATTAAATTAACTAAAAAATTGGACACAAAAGCAAAGGATGAGACAAAAGCATTGAAAGAGTCCATTGATGTCATCAAAGATGTCAGAGATAATTGATTTTATTAATTATATAAAATATTAACAATAATTTAATTACCCGTAATATTATATTTAATAAAACAAAAGTACTGTATTATAGTCTCCAATAATATAGTATTGAATACATTACCGGTATATTAATATATTATATATTAAAATTTTTTATTAATATCATATTAAATATAATTATTACATTTTCTGACTGATTATTAATGTTAAGTATTAAATACGTATATAAATATTAATAAATTTAATTTATTGACCAAAAAATTAGATTTAAAAAAACTTTTAGAAAATTTAGGTTTAGTTTATCAATCAATAACGTATTTATTTTACAATTATATAACAAATAAGATATTTATGATGTCATCATATTGTAAATGATATGATAATCATATTATTAAATAAAATGTTGTCTAAATTGTGTAGTAATTAATATTTAATAATATTTTAAATAGTTAACTGTATTTAAAGTTTATATTACATTACAAAATGTGTTTTTAGATTTATGCCTTTTAATTGATTGTATAAATTATTAATAATATTTTTACATTAAATTAAATAGATTTTTCAAAATTGAATCAAAATTTTTTTTATATTTACTTAAATTTTCCTCATATTTTGAGGACAAATACTGCACTTTTATAATAATTATTTTTTGTATATAAGTTATACCTATATTTCAAGTTATTTTATATCATAGAAATAGTGTCCGTTTCTCTCAATCAACAGCTAATCCAATCAATTTGTTTAACACAATGAGTGATTGCAGTGAACTAAGAGTTGATACAACTTATGGCAAAATAGGTATTTATTTTATGAATTTTAATTTATTATATATTTTTAACATACACTACATTAAAATGAAAAGTTTATGATAAGAATACAGTATCTCTAATAGTCTATATTATAGACTCTATAAGTAATACAATTCATATATTTTTTTTAAATATTAAAATAATTAATAAAAAATAAAAAAAAAATTCTATTAAAGCTATCAAAGTCTGGGGAAAACCGGATGAAAATCGTTTGAAACTTCTTTGTGTCCACGGATGGCAAGTATGTCATCGATAATATTGAAATATCAAATGTGATTGTATTGTAAACTAGATTTTACATTAATATTGACTAATTTTTATCGGTAATGAAGGACAATGCGGGCACTTTTGACCGATTGCTACCACTTCTTGATTTGAACTCATTGTATGTTTTGTGTGTCGATCTTCCCGGACATGGATTTTCATCACATCTTCCGAAGGGTGCTGTGTATGTCATTCATAGTTAATAAAACTAAAGTATAATAAACAGATACATGTGTTAATGGAAATGTTTTATTGGATCAGTTATACAGACCTAACATGGATTATGGAATTAAAACGTATTGTCGATCACCTAAATTGGACCAAATTCTCAATATTAAGTCATAGTATGGGTGCCAACGCATCGCTTAGCTTTGCCGTAATGTTTCCCGATTTAGTGGACAGAGTTATCACATTAGATACGGTCAAACCGGCAGTATTTCCTATCAATGAATGCGCCAATAGATTGGCCACAGATATCAATGAATTTATGGCATTAGAGGAGCGAAACAATCGGAAGCAAGCGATGGGCACTCGGGAACCAGTTTTCAACTATGATATGGCCATAACTGTGCTCAAGAGTGCCCACTCGCCCATCGGTAACATTACATCTGAAGGGGCCGCCTGTCTGCTGAAGAGAGCCACTAAAATCATTACACAAAAGGACTCAAAACCGGGTTATGTATTCACAAGAGATTATAGACTTCAGAAAGTATTAAACCGTAAGATTGACTGCCAATCACTACTCGGACTCTTCTCTGGACTTAAATGTGAACTAATGATTATAAACGGCAAAAACGGTTTGTTCACCGATAGAGATCTCCAGAAGCGCTTCCTCGAGTTGTATCAAAACAATTGCAAAAAGTTTGTCTACGTTGAGGTCGATGGCGACCATTACGTGCATTTGACTTCTCCTCAAAAAGTAGTGCCACATATAAAACAATTTCTTAGTGAACCAATCAATGATCTCATGAACCATAAGTTATGAAACATAATATGAATTAGAGGTACAAATATTTTCAATCAAATTTATTTAGTAAAATATTATTTACTATTTTGTTATTTTTATATTATCGGTAATTAAAATATTCAATAAATAAAGTAAAATACAGTATATGTAATGTTATTAAAATTGCAATTTTAATAAATATATTACTTATTTTAATTAAATCATCAATTTTACAAAACAAATAATGTTAATTGATTCAAATATTTTAGAAAACAAAAACAATTTATTAATAATTGAGTTTATATAACATCAAAACTCGTATATCATTTTCTATTGATTTATTTACTGTATTTTCATCTATTATTAGATCCAATTGTTTCGCAAACATTTAGGTTAGATTGGGTTAAATTAGACTTATTGTAATTTATAGTAAAATTTCAAACAATGGCTTTAATTATTTATAAATAATTTTACAAAATCATCACAAATTATATTAATTACAATAAAATAATGAGTATTTAGTGTCAATAAAAAACATTAATTGTCTAAAAAAATATGTAATGAATTTATACAAAAATGACTATCATTTGTGTGATTCAATCACTTAATTGTCGACAACTTTATGGCCATCGCATCGATCGAAGGATTTCTTTGGATAACAACAACTGATTCGACAATTTGCGAGTCTTTTTGGTTTTTGACTTCAATTAGCTCTTTATTTGGCACTTCAGTTGACTCGACATTCAAATTGCATTCAAAATCAATGCAATAATCACTTGATTGCGGACTAATTGGTTGTGTATCCGACTGTCTGTCGACTTTCGCGTATCGATGGCATGAATGCCACAAATCTATTGTTTCCAAACAATTGTGACACTTAGTGATGGCAGACATCTCAAGACTGAATGGTTTGCATTGACTTAAATCAAGGCGTGATTTCCAATCGATTCCAGTTTTAAGTCTCAAACTTCTCTCTAATCGTTGTCTTCGACTGAATGTATAATAAAAGGCATTTCTTTGGTATTTTTCTCTGAGTTCGCTCTCAAAAATCTTGTGGTAAATGTCAATACATTTCCAATTATTCCAAGAATTAGTTTCATTTATAACAGCAATCATTTGATTCTTTGGGTATGAATTCAAATTAATTCGTTTGTTTGCAATCATTGAGATCTCCTTTTGTGACAATTGTTTCAATTGAAGAGTTGTCGACAAAAATCTAAACATTTCGGACGTAATATCGAAAGTCGACACAAATTTCGAGAGTCGTGTCTTTTGGCAGTGTTTTTGTTTGACTTCTTCGTCAATGGTATTCACTTTGTTTTTGTTTCCTTTGGATCGTCTCTTCTTACGAATCGTAAATTTTTTCTTAGTTTTGACTTTGATTTCATGATTTCTGAACACATTGTCGACAATAACTCCATTTTCTCTCAAAATCTGTTCTTTATTTCCAATCACTTGATTGGTCTCTAAATCAATATTCAAACCATCGATTCTATTGATTCTTCTCAAAGGAAAACTTTGTTTCAATTGATTCAATGATTGATTGTTGAGATCTGTTGTTGGGATGAGATTCAGACATTTCATATAATCAGACGATTCGATGGATTTGATATCCAATTCTTTTTGTAAATCAATTTCATTCAATTTTGTGATCAATTGTTTGTCTTCATTGAGATATTTATTGATTTCCGATTGCGATAGTCTTTGGACGACAACTATAGGATATTCAGCTTTCTTTTGATTGCATTTGTCTTCATTATAACAGTTGACACATATATTGTCATTAATATTCATATCTAAGTCTAAGACCTAATTTATTATTGAAAAATATAATTTATAAAAATTGTTTTAATTAATAATTTCGATTTTAATTAAATACAATATTTATTTATTTTTAATTACTATTATTTTTTTTGATTAATTAGATAGTTTGTTGACACAAAAAGGAGAGAGTCTTAAACAGCGGCGATACTATTAATTTGAATTATCTGATCAACAATACGTTGGATTTAAAAGTGACCATGGACAATGTTGTAGATAATTTCAAACTAACTAAGATTGTACTTGGTCATTTTTTAATTAATTGTATGGTTGGCCATATAATCTACAGTCGACTGTTAAAAAATTATAAAAATGATAGTTGACTGCAATTGTCTGTCCAATCATACAATTAATTTAAAAAATGATCAATTACAATCTTATTTAGTTTAAAATTATCTACAACATTGTCCATGGTCACTATTAAATCCAACGTATTGTCGACCAAATAATTCAAATTAATAGCATCGCCGGTGTTTAAGTTAAACCTCACTAAAAGAGACAAACGGTTTGTTTGATTACCGAAAAAAATTATATCATCTAATATTAAACCATTAAATTAATACTAAACAACACATATTAATCTACAGTTTTTTTTTATAAAAAACGTTACATTTATATTGTATAATGATTTGTATTGTATTAATATATTTGTGTACAATAATAATAATAATGATAAACTACGTAACATATTTTAAATTTATAATTAACATTATTTTTGAATTATCAAATTAAATATAAATAATGTCAACTAATTAAATAATTAGACATTTTGTTTAAATAATTTTCAAAACGACAATAATTGCCGTCGAATTACAAGAACATCAAACGCTAACAATTTTCACTCATTTAATGAGAAAATGTTTTATTGTATTAATATTTGTTTGTCTTAAACAATGATTATATGAAACAAATGGTAATATAACGCAAACAACATGTGTTTGAATTACAGATACATTCATCACATCACGCATTGCATACATACAGACACCTCTTACCGCTTAATCATTAGATTACACAATACTATACAAACAATTTAATTATTGTTTTCGTTATATAGTGTCCACTCATTACTACCGCTGGCTATCGCTAACTATTAGCACTCATATATCATACGCATTGTTATCAATGGTATAATCTGTTGGTTAAACAGTGTTGACAACACATTCACACAAAACAATAAAAAAAATTTGAAAAAAGTATTGACAAACCTGTGGCCAACACTTTCATCGATGTATTGATCGAAACAAACAAATGATAGGATTTTTTGTCACTAATATCATAAACTTATGGCAAAACTGTGTCAACACTTGTAATGACAACATAAACACTGAAACACTATAACTGTATTTCAAAACAAATTCAATGCTATTTATAGTAGTTTTAGCGATTGCGCAGTCAATATGTGTTGACTCAATAGCCGGTAGAGTTGTTACAATGATTTTAATAAAATTCTGGACATTTTAAATATTTTGACCATGAACATTTTGATAAAATAAAAATGTTAAAATTATGGTTTAAATGTTAAAAATACATAATACTAGGATTTCTATAAATTTTTAATTAAAATAATATTTTAACAATTTATTTGCTGATATTATATTTTGTCGTCAAATACTAGATGTTTGACAACTCTATTAAACAATTAATAGATTTTCGGGATTTTTGATATTTTTATAAAAATAAATATCGTTAACATTTGACTTACAAATAGTATAATCAATGTATTCAATACACAGAGAGTCTTAAACAGCGGCGGCGGCGATGATAGGGAGGGTTAGGAAGTGGTGTTTGTCTGGAAAAGGAACGGTAGTTCAAGACTAATATCTTATCTAAAACTTCTTAAACAATGTGTTATATATATACTGAATCTGTTTCCCAATTATTACTCCAACACATCATATAATAAAATACTATTGAATTGTTGTAAGACATTGTGTATGGTTTGATTGGTTCACAACTAGGGTTCGGATAAATTCATTACTCGTCTTATTTTCCAAAAGTTTCTTATATTCCCGTCTCTCAGGGATTCTATATCCTTGTGTTGACATCTATTGAAGTCTAAACAATGAATTTTATTATAAGATTTGAATAACAAATGTTGTATTAAACTGTATTTTGAGTCTTATTGTTAAATAGTATCATTAAATTCATTGAATTTTAATTTATTTTTAAATATTTTAATAAAATTTTATGCAAAAATATAAGTTTTGGTATTATTTATTTTAGAAATATAAAATATATTTTCCCTACTTTTCGGGAAAATTGGAGGTATTTTATTAGTGAATTTCCGAAATATGTTGAAACCGTTATCTATGACAAGTCCGACATCTCTATTGTATTGACAGTAAAAGTGATATCATTTTTAGCGGTTTTTTTGGGTTACATTTAATTATTTTTAAAATAATTGAAAATTTTGTAATTTTATCAAACTATAAATATTTTAATTTATTAGAGAAAATTAAAAACAAATTTATATTATTAATAGATAAGAGAATAGACCTAAAATTAAGATTAGATTACAATTGCATACTATTTGTCTAAGATATTAATATTTTATATATGAAAATAACTTAAAAATGGAAATCTTTAACTTAGTGGTGGTTCATATATTACGTTCGCACTTAAGGAGGGGATGTGGAGGGGTAGAGACTTTAAGAACGTTCACATTTAGATATTTTATTTCTTAGTGGGGGGGGGGTAAGCGGTTAGTTTATTTTTTTAATGACTACATGCGAACAATTGCGAACATAGGGAAGGGAATGGTCTAGATTTATTAAAAAGTGCGAACGTAATATGTGAATCGCCCCTTAAAAGTATTTAGTTTTATTATTAATAAGACTTAAATTCAATATTTTTGTCTAATTTAGTACATAAAGCACTTTATCTTTATTTATTGCTATAAAATAATTGGCGAAATATACAGTATATATAAAGGTCAACCTTTGGACTTAAACTTTATTTAATTGATAGCACAGTCATTAAACACATGTGTTTCACTGACCATAAATTTTAGGGTCGGTTTCATTTTAATCAATAGTGTCTTGATTTCCAACTAAAAAAATTATTTTGTCGGTTCAAAGCTTATAACTGGGACTTAGTATGTCCACCGAAGTTGACCAGTGGACGCTATTTCCGAAATTTTATTATAACTATAAATAACTATTTGTTTTTTTTAGAAACTATAAAAACTTATAAATAACTATTTCAATTATTTTGAAAAATATAAGCATTAAATTGTAAAATATTGCAAAAATATATGTAAAAACAAAAAGTAATAGTTATATAAATTATATGAAATGTTTAAACTGTTATCAACTCATATTACTTTTTTAACAATAGAAATAATTAGTTTATTTATATAAATCATTTTTGTAAATACGCTGAAAACAAGTGAATTATATATCAGTTGTAAATATTTATAAGAAAATAAATAACTATTTTAACAACTATTTGACTTTTTTTAGCAACTATTATAACAACTATTTAATAGAGTATAAAAAATTATTAATCAATACACTAATAATCAATTATCTCACATTTAAAACAAAATCAAATTTATTGAATATTTTTTTAAACAATAAAAAGTTTTTATAGTTTAAAAAATATTCAATAAATTTGATTTTTGTTTTTAATGGGAGATAATTGATTAAATTAAAACCGACCCCTAAAAAACACCCCTCTATGAAGTCATTCATAACTATTATTGTCATTATTTAAAAAAAACAGCAATTATTAGCCAAAAAGTACCCCAACTATGGAATGACAGAAAATCTTATATTTGCTTTAAATCTCATACATTACTAAAATAGTTTTACAATTTATTATTTCCAAAAAAAATATATTTTTAATTGAATCCAATAGACGGGGACACCATTATTAAAAATCTTACAAAATTCTAATTTTAATTTATTATATTTGTTTTTCAATAAGTTATATAATTATAATTAACATATAAAATAACTTAAAAATATAAATTAATATAAAATAATTATTTAGAAATAAACTGTTGGCATAGTTAGGTTCACCACATTGGGCACCGTTATCGTCGTCCTCTTCAAACTCGTTACTGCATAGACAGCGCCCGTAAGTATCACAATACCGGTTAACGTCATACTCACGGACACACTCCGAGTCGGACACACACCGGAAGTATTGACAGCCAATGTTGTCATTAATATATCGGAAATTTGGTGAACACCTACACATTGAGTCCACACATCGTTGACTATATGGACGCATAGATTGACAGTCAGTATCGTAACTGCAATCGTGATTAATGGCATACGGTTTGGATGTCGATACTGGACTTGCATTTGATTTGTCATCCAAAATGACCATGCTCATATTTATTATAATTATTAAATAACAAATTAATAATTTATTCATAGAAATCATTGTTTTTTATATAGTATGATATTAATGTACATTATTTTACAATTATCTAATGTTATTACTAATTAAATATATATAATAATAAAATTATTTATACGTATCATCTTTGTTTTTAACAAAAAAATGTCATTTAATGTATAACTTTCACTATTTTTGGCATATAATACATTTTAAAACTAATTTTCTTAGTAACGGCAAATAATAAATGTAATATTTATTATATGTCAATATTATTATACTGTAATAAAATTCGTTTATATTTTTTTATATCATATATTATTTAAATAAAAATAAAAATATAGTCATTAATTTAGTTATTTAATGATTAGTTATCAAAATATTTCTATTTACTATTAAATTATTTATTAGTTTATTATATAATTAATATCCAAATATATTTATCACAGTAACTGTTAATTATTATTAAACAAGAAAAATAAATATTGTATAAAAACTTATTTAATTAAATAAAACAATGGAAATTATATTAATATTAATTTCCGCATTTGTTTAACCAAAATTTTCGGTAAAAATGTATGAAAAACTGTTAATCTGGTCTTATATTATTTGGTCTCTGATATACCGTTTAGTGGGAGTCAATAATTACCCGAAATTATCAAAATTTTAATCCTTTTTTAAAATCTATTAAATTAATTGATAAAGTATTCAGACTTCCTTAACAATGAACTAACTGTTAAATTATGAAACACCTGTTCATGTGGTTCGTCCAGTTTGAGCAATAAATACATGTAATACTAAATAATCAGATAAGCTATAGATAGTCATCAAAATTCAATAAAATAATTGATTTTGTTTTATTCGGTTACTCTACTATCTGGTCAAACAAATTATTAATAAATGTTGAGATTTTAATTTTATAATTTAAAACATGATCTACTAAAATTATTATCATATTTATAAATATTTATTACACAAGTATAAAGTAATAACAATTTTTATTTTATTTTTAAATGATTAAGCATTTATATATTTAACAAATAATAACTGCAGTATAATAATAAATTATATCCATTATTATAAAAAAGGTATACAGTATATATATATATATGTTACTTATTAAGTAACATTCAATATTGCAAAAATGTTATCAATTTTATAAGCTATCATTACTTACCACATAAGTTACCAGTACTTCATAGTAATACTTTGTTTTTAAAAATAGTCTAATCTATAATTTTTTTGATAAAATATAGATTTAATTACTTACGAAGTGTGAAACATGAAAATAATAGTTACTTTTATTTGTCAATAGTATAAAGTATTAAAAATATAAAATACAATAAATTTATTATTAATATTATTATTATAAATAAAATTTAATAAAACATTGTGTCAACAATAATGAAGTGTCGGTCAAAAATTGATACAAAAATGAGACAATCATTTAGCCGTTTTGGCGATGATTTAACTGAACTATTATTATCTTATTTGTCATTTGATGATAGATTTCGTTACGAATGTGTATCAAAACAATGGCAACAATTAATATTTAATTCACAAACTGATCTATGGATTACATCTGAAATGCAATTAAATAAAATTAAAACAATTATTACGAAATGTCCAAACATTAGCCGATTATATTATACAAAATTAGATTCATGTTTTGATGATATAAAATTTGATTATATTACACAACATGTCAAACATTTAACTAAATTTCACATTTTTATCAGACATTATATATCAAAGCCATTGATGGACAACTTCTTCGCCAAATTTGCCAAACAATTGAAACATATATGTATAGCAATCAAGTGCTACAATGAAAATCTCAAGCAATTAATTGCTACAAATATAAAACTTTGTGAAAATATTGAATCGATAATTGTTTATCAACTAAGACAACGTACATCTGATCCAACAGATAATCAATTCAAATGTTTAGACTTTTTATTTAATGACAAAAATGACATTTTATTCAAAAGACTTAAAGAGTGTCACATTGTTTACAACAATGAAGATGTAAACCTTTTCAACTTATTTGTTAATCATTACAAACCTATCTTTAAAAAATTAAAAGTTATTTTAGGCAATAATTGTAATAACAATTCAGTAAATATTTTAATTAGTGGTTTAATTCATATGAAATCATTAATTAATCTGCAAATTGACGACGAATGGCATCCCTTATCAATCAATCAATTGAGTCAAATAGGGATCAATTGTCCGCAACTGAAAGCACTGACATTAAGTTTTAACAATAATTCGGACACTTTTAGCCAATACTTACAGACAATTAATAAATTATTTCATCAATTAAGACGTTTGAGAATAACTTTTGGTGATAAATATAATTTAAAAAGTAGTGAATTCAATGGTTTGAAACATTTGACAAATTTATTTATTAATAATGTTATCCATAACATCAATGATATCAATGACATCAATTACATCACTGATAATTTCTTCATCAATATTAATTGCAATCTACCTAAGCTCCGGCACCTGTATGTCGAAAGGACTAACATTACTGACTTAGCACTGGATTCATTGTCTCGACTGAAACACTTGAAAACTATTCAACTATACTATACATCGGAGTCATTGTGTGATTCAGTTGTCGATGATTTTAAGCACAGATATCCCGGTTCTTATTTATGGACTGATCAACAAATCACTCATTTGTAAACTCGTTTGTCTATATAGAGTATAAAATACAAAATTTATTTATATGTTAATCAGAAATTGTTAATTAATTAATACTATTAGATATGTAATTATATATTATTAATATAATTACGATAAATATATAATATATGATATGTATAATTATAAATAAAACTGTATATTTATAATATTTACATTTAATTTAGATACTATAAATTGTTTATTGTATAGATTTATAAATCAACATTATCAATACAAAATATCAAATATCAAATTATAATATTAATAGCAAACTGAAGTCAATTGTAAAATAATTAGAAGTCTTTAATCAGATATTGAGATAAAATAATTGATTTATTTTATAATTGTTAAACACGTGAACTAAATGCACGCAATTGTGAATTTATTTTTACATTTTTAGGCAATAATTTGAAATCATTTCAATTCAATCAACTTTTTGGTCATAAATGTTGGCAACAAATTACAGTTATTAAGGACACAAAAAAATATGGCCAAAAAAAGTCAACAGAAAGAAGACACCAAAGACAAGACTGACAAAGATGTGGACATCGATGACGACAGAGCTAAGAGAATCGCTGGTCTCACTAACGAAGCCAAGAATTGTCCCATTTGTTTAGTTCTTGTGTCCAACCGTTCGCTGACCGATACATGTCTTCACGAATTCTGTTACGAATGTCTTCATGAGTGGTCTGCAAACAAGAATCGATGTCCAGTGTGTCGTCAGATCTATCACAATATTATCCATAATATTAAATCTGGAAATCAATACGACAGCGAAGTAGTTCCAGAAGTGCACATCAATGAAATGGCAACAGTTGTCAGAAATATATTTCTCGTTCTTCGTTTGTCAGCTGTTTTCAATAATAGTTTGGTTTTGAAAATGAGAGCAATTAATGAATTGGAAGATATCAACAAAGAGATCAACAATATTACTAATGGCAAACAAAAGTCAAATCAAAAACTGAAAAAATTAAGAGAAAATGCAAATACTTTGCAGACAACTATTGAAAAATTGAATGAAGATCTGAATGAAGTTCAACAGCTCATGGATAACGACAATTCAAATGAAGAACAAATATTGGCTCTACTCAGTCATAGAGAAGAAAATATACAACATATCTATGATATGATTAATATCTTGTGGCCAATTGATCCAACCGACGATCGTAATGAACCTCAGAATGCAATTGAGGCCAACATTGTATCGCATCACTCGATGCCATCTCTTCAGACTGTTGTTGGTTTGTCTGTTGCAGAAGAAAGTGATTCTATCAGTGAATCGGACGACAAAAGCAAAGGACATGAAAACAAAAGAAAAAGACGAAATGATTGCAACCATTCCAAAGATCACTCAAATGGTAACAACAACTCTGGCGGTCAGTCACAGAGTAAACGAAAGAGAAAACAATGATTTATGAAATGATTTCTGTATTAAAAAGAAAGAAAGATTATTTGATTTGCAAAATAAAATCAAGTTTTTAGCTTAAAATAAAATTTTATTTCAAGTTAATCACAATTTAATTAATTAGAAACTATATATACTGTATATATATATATATATATATATATATATATATAAACTAATTAAAAATATTTGTTTTTTAATTTATTATAAAACTTATAAGCAATTAATATTAATATTTTTTGCAGTTATGTGTGTAATTATTTTTGAAAGAAAAAACAACTACAAAAAAAATATTTTATATTAAACTAATTTTGTACAGTTATATATACATTGAATATATGTATTAAATTAGTATTGATTTTGTTTCTATGAAAATTACATTATTTTATTGTTTTAATCTGCAAATTCAAAACACATTTATCGATGAACTGGCTATACATAAGCGCACAATTAGTTTCCGTCACGTATGGCCATCAAATATTGCCCAATCTATTACAGTATGTGGTCTATAATTTATATTATATTTTGTTTTAACACATTTATTACTATAACCTCAAACATAAAAAGTTTATTGTATATGTCGTGTGTCGACTGTTTATATATTGTTTTTCATATAACTACTGGACTCATATTTGGGCAAAACGTGATATAATATCATATAATAACAATAATAATACTGTATATATACGATGATACAAAAAATACATATTTTATTGCATTACAATAAAAACTGGTAGTTTAATTTACATTCATCTCTCTCTCTCTCTCTCTCTCTCTCTCTCTCTCTCTCTCTCTTTCTCTCTTTATTAATATAATTAAAAAATATATAATATAATAACAGTAAATATAATATTATAATAAATATTTAATGCGATATTAATATAATAATCTTTTTATAGATTACAAAAACATTAAAAAATATAATTATGATTTATATTACTTGTTGTTGTTTTTGGAAAAATTTTAGCAAAAAAATATTAAAATAAAAAATAAATAATTAAACTGTTATAGTAAAAAAAAATATATAAAACATTAATACGATTTTTTAGATACTGTTTTTAAGATAAGAGAGCAAACTATTATACTGTATATATAGTAAAATTATTAATTGCGAAAAAATGTTAATTAAATTTTCATTAAGAAAATAGTAAAGAAATGTTATATTATATATAAACAACGCGTAAGTTAATAATAATAGTAACATTAATAATGAAAAGTTTTATTTTTATGAAACAAAACAAAAGATTTATTGTATTTCGCAAATACATTGGTATTGGTTTCGTAAGCAAACAAAATTGGAGGACAAATAGCTTACAAAAATAGTAACACAATTTTGCCTCAATTTGTTTGCGAGCTATTAATTGCTAAACTATTGGCGTCTATTGAGTTGAGAGAGAGAGAGAACCGGGGGCTTAAAAATACCGGTGTGTCCAACACTTTCTTATTTTTGTTTAACATATATATAATACAAAATTTGTATTACAAACTATATAAATAATAAATGCATAAACTTATTAATCAAAGAAATCAATATTAATTACTATTTTATACAATAAATAAACATATATATAATTTATATTTATGTTTATGTACTCAAAATGTTGTTGAAATCATAACAAAGTTAAGTAAAAAAAACTTTTTTACATTTGTTTAATAATGTTTGATTAAATAGTTTATTTTATTGCGCAAATTAATAGCAATAAATTTTCTTATATCTACGCGCGTATAAAACTATATGTTATACACTATTTAAAACATTGGATATTAATATAAGATAAAAATAAGACAATTAATTATATTTCGAGCATAACATCGGAGACAACCAAAAAAGCCGCCCAAAAAATCATATGTTTTTTATCGCAAATAACATATTTTTTATATTATGTTATAATAATATTTATCTAATAAAACAATTAATATTAAAACTATATAATGACGCGAGTGTTCATTGCGTAAAAATTTTACATATTATTATTTTATTTGATGTAATATTTATCATAAATATCGATGAATACCACAAATATTTTAATTTTGTTATTATTAATGATTGGTTTTTTTAGAGGCTAAACAACACGCAAATCAATGATACAATAATTGAAGTGTCGATTAGTTTTTAATAAATTTCTCGTTAAGTAATTAATGATAAATGAATTATTGTTTATCAAAAATTAATAATTGTTTTTTGCTTGAAAATTACTAACAATATAGCAATATATCAAAAATTATTGTTAAAACAAACGTTAAATATTAAGATTTATATATTAATTATTTTTAGAAAATAATAATTTTTTTCTTAAATTAAGTTATTAAATATTGCAATTTTATCGATTAAATATTTTCAAAGATTAACTTAGGTTATAGACTATTAAATCTAAAGAGTTATTTATTAATATTATATAATTGTATGTTTGATAAAATAAAAATCATTAAAAAATAAATATTGAAATTAAAAATAAATACTTGTATTTCCAAACTTTACTAAAATGTTTGTTTAAACCAAAACATTATATACTGTATTAACAGTACACCAAATAATACTGTTAATCAAAAAATAAATAAAAAGTCATAAAAATTAAATATTCATTTGTGTTTTAATATGAATTCTCACGAGAAAAACATATAATGAAAAAAATTAAATACAATTGAAATACATTACACATACGTTATACTGTATGTAAATGTTAAGCAAATATTTAGCACTTAAGTCGTGACTAATTTAACGGTTAACACATATTTAACATAAAGATTTTTTGGGAGCAAAATTAATACTACAATAAATCACTTGTTTTAAATGAGATGGCAGGCGATTGAAACAAATATAAATAATGATTGCAATTAATAAAGTTATCTAAAATTGATTTTTTTGGATACAGTTTACTGTAAAATCATGTTTAAAGAAGTTTGATGATCGAGATATTATATTAACACCAAAATGTATTAAATAATAAATTGAGTAAACATTTTGTTTGAAGATACAAATAACTATTTTTATCTAAATAATTTGTAATGTTTAAATATTTGTGTAACAAATTGTTTTGAACTAATTTTTTAAAATTCATGAATAAAATTATATGTATGTGTCTATTAATATAAATTTCTCATATAAATCATTAACACTAAAATTTTGAAATTTTTACATTTTATAATTAAACCAAAACTAATGTATGTTTTATTTCATAATTCTAATAATAGTCTAATTATAGTTAAAATATTAGTGATTTTTATTCAGATATTTTATATTTTCTATATTTATTTTGATTATTTTATTATTAAAATTTAAATTTAATGCTAACAAAAATATTATATATATAAGGTAAATAAACAATTTTATATTAAATACTAAATATTTATGATACATATAATGCATATATAATTTACAGTACAGACGGTATATACTGTATCATAAATGAATAAAAAATATTATATTAATCAAAAATTCTATCTAAATTACATGTGATTTTACAATATATATATATATATATATATATAAATGCTGAAACACGATATATTGACCAAAAAATAAATTAGCATAATTATAATGAGCGTTATATTCAAGTTATCTATAGTAATGAAATATACTGAATATAATTTATGTATTAGTTTTGTTTCACATCAAGTGTCTCATAGACTATTGGTTTACAGTATATAATGAAAAAGCAATAATGAGTTTTGAATTACGTTGAATGCAATTTTTGGCTACAATTATATAATTTATGTGAATGTGATTAGACTTATATATGTGTTTTCATTTAAATTATTTTTTATATATTCATGTCTCGATTATGACTACAAATAAACTATTAGAAAATTATTATACAAAATGTTTGTGTGTGTGTAAAATAATCGTTAGATTTATTTTTATATTTAGTATTTTAATTAAAACTAGATATTATCTTTTTTATTTTTATATTTTATTGATTTCAAACATATATCGATAATGATATCAATATTAAAAAAAAATAATTAAATATAATAAATATTTTCACAATTATTAACTAAAGAGATTCACAGATAATACATAAAAATATGAAACTAAAATTTATTAAGCAGTGACTCACTTTTTTTCATACACACAAACCTACACTTTCTACTGAATGTCGATTACGGTCACAGTGTTTGACGATTATGAACACACCTGAGCCCACAACCATACTGTCCCCAAAATAATACGTTCATAGTATTCAATCAGCCGGTCATACTAAGGCATGAGTGCACAATCAACAGGACATCATTAAAATATATCATATGTTACACACAATCAATAATTACAATTTGTTTTATAGATCTAAATTTATTTTTTTTAAAATATATATATATATATAATTTATTTAAAATATATATATATATTTAAAAAAATAATATATATATATAATTTTTTTTTTTAAAATAGTATATATAAATATATATAATTTTTTAAATTTTTATCAATCTTATATAATTGTGACAAAAAAAAGTTTAACATTTTATTAGATTATTATTATGTTTTGCTTAAAAATTTTTATCTAAATATTTTTTCAGATACTAATATTGTTAATGCTTTTAAAAGTTGCTCAATAATAAAATTTTTGAAAAAATTAATGCATTTGCTTTAAACAATTGCCAATTTTCAATTTTAATTAATATTATTTTGTTTTACTTCAGATTAATGCCTTTGAAAACAATGACTAAATAAATTAGTTTTTATAAAACTAAATCTTATTTTACACAAAACTAATGCGTAATGTTTAAATATTTAAGTAAATTTACAGTAATATAAAAAATAAAAAAATTAATTAATTTGGATTATATCTAAATAAATGCCATAATTTATTTGCATATTATTGTAATTAAAAAACTTAATATTATGAAATCAATGATAATTCTTTTTATAAATATATATATATTGTAAATTCAAACTATTGTAATAAAAAGTTATAATTTAAATATTAAGAAAACATTATCATAAAAATTAATAGCTATACTCAAATGAACAATATTAATAATTTTATTAATAAAATGTTATAAAATTTTTTATAATAATTTTCTTATTTTATTTAA